AGCTTTCAGAGCCTGCTCCCTCTCATTTTTGAATTATGCGCAGAACAGATAAGGCTGCCAGGGAACTTAGATGCTAAAGTGAGGCGGTAATATGTACTAGAGCTTCAACACTAGAGTTGCTGAGTTCTGAATAATTAGTTAAATGCTGGACAGCACTACTTCTAGGTCAAGGCTTTCACCTTGACTATCAGCTGGCACATGCTTGTAAAAAAAATGCTTTCCACCTTCTTTAAAAGCAAAAACAAAGCAAAACTTACCTTAAAATTTAATGCATTAAAAAAAATACATTCCAAAGTCCAATATAATTTTTCAAAAATTATCAATGCCATTATTCCCTGGCTGTTAAAGATTTTAAAGCTGGAGTTTCAAAGTCATCTACAAATCCCCCCAAACTGGGAATTATTCAAAATAAGAGTAAGCTCAACTTGATAATACCAGAAAGCTTAAGGGTTATCTGGGGTTTAAGGCAGCAACCCTGCCTTAAGCCCAAGGGAGGCTGGGGCTGGTGCTGAGGTACTTAGACAGCAGGCTCAGGAGAGGTGCAAACTGATGTGGGATATAGTGGAAATTGGTGCTTTTTAGTGCCCCCCCCTTTTTTTTTTTTTTTTCAATCTAAGACAGGTAATTAGGAGGTGACTGGAGAAATCAGCAGAATATTGTGAATACTGACCTCTTCCTGGGAAAGAGGTATGAGGTTATCATGGGCCCACACTCACTGGGCCACATGGAAATCTTATACACTTTTCTGAATAAACAGCAAAGACTAAAAGCAATGAAAAAAAACAAATGTAACCTGTAAAACCTACTAGATCTACCGTGTTCCTCTTGTTGGTTTCTCCTAAGGAGCTCGTGCAAAACGTCTCCCATCGCTCCCTCACTTCATCAGGAAGATCTTTAGAATGAGAAAAGGAGAAAAGCATTATCACTACAGTGACCCACACAGATGACTGGAGAGAAGGGTTGTACAGAGCAGCTCACCTAGTTCTCTATGGCAAGCAAGGGAGCCCCATCTACGGAAGTGCTCTCAGAAGAGGGAGTCAGAAAACCTGGCCTGAACTATGAACTTCTGAGTCCAGACCACAGCCAGCCCCTCCTTGGCAACAGCATAGGCCTGATTAGGCCAAGCGCCTTGATTCATCAAGTTTCTTTCTTCTTCTTTTTTCATATGTGCCCACAATGTTTGGGTCACTTTTCTCCCCTTGCCCCAGTTTCTTTCTTCTGAGAAAGGTAGTGAGTCTTTAAGGTAAGTGTGTGGAGGGGTAGGGAGCCAAGTTTTTTCTAGTCAAGTTTAGGAAATACTGCAAATGACAGCTCCCATGATGAACTATTCTGATGGGCATCTGGCCAATCAATGCTGCACGAAACCCTGTCTGGCTTCTCAAATTGCTCCAAGACAATGTCTCCTAAATGTCTGCCTAATGACCCAATATGTGAAAATAAATGCAAGGATGAGTCTACATTCTAGAGAAACTTCAAAGGAAAGGATCCACAAATATTTTTCAAAGACAATGAAACCATGGCTGTCAACTGAGATCTAACTACAAAAAGGATGTCATCTGACTATACTGACTTAAACAACCATGTGTGGGTGCACGCTCACACAGGCACAGATACCACCCAGCAAACAACTTCTATGAAAAAAAAGACTGATCTAACAAACTTAATCATATCATACAGCCATTTCTCTTCAATAAGGATATAAACTATGATGGCAGCTGGGGACTCCTGCAGTGGAGACTTGGAAGATCACAGTTCAAGGTCAGCTTAGGCAGAGTGAGTGAGACCTCATCTTAAGCAAAAGGCCGGGCATGGCAGCTTATCTATGCCTGTCATCCCAGTTACACAGGATTGTAGTATGAGGCTGGCCCCTGGTAAAAATGAGAGACCTTTATCTAAAAAAAAGTTAAAAGCAAAAAAGGGCTGGGGGATGGGGCTCAAGTGGTGAAGCACCTGCCTAGTAAGCATGAGACCCCATACTCAAACCTTAATACGGAAATTAACACCAACAACAACCAAAATCCCACTATGATGGGGGAATGACTTAAGGAAGAAGCAAAATGGGCACCCTCAATTTTTCTGTCATTGGGTAGTAACAACTGGACCTTGACTGCACATTTGACAGGCAACATTCTCTTGAACAAATGTTCTTTAGAGAAAAATCTGGAAGGACAAACCAAGAAGCAATTTTCAACAAGCTAATACTGAACCAACTCTGTTCCAGATTTCTTGCACTCAGAGGAAGGAATCTCTGATCTAGCCATCACACTGGGGCAGAACCCCTGCATTCACAAAGCTCCTGGTATTCTCACTCTGGAAGGGATGGACTGGTGGCCTGGGGGCCCACGAGAAAGGCATTCACAGTTTCTTCCAAGTAACCTAGGGCTGATCAAATTGAAATGCTGGCACAAAAAGAAGCCTGTAGGGACCAAGATCCCTCATTCTAGTGACAGAGATATTGAAGAAATGCTGGGACATGCCTTAATGTCCCGATTAAAGGAACTTAACCCACAGGTGAGACAAAGGCCTTCAGAAGAAAATAAAGAGCAAGAACAGACTGGGGACATGGCTCAAGTCATAGAGCACCTGCTTAGCAAGCACAAAGCCCTGAATTAAAACACCAGTATCGCCCCTAAAAAAAGCAGGAACTGTTATAGCTTACGTGGTTCTGTTGCTAGTGTACACATACTGCAAGCTCAAAATATTAAAAAGCATGATGCAGCAAACACCACTCTTTAACAATGAGTAACTCTAATATACTGAAGCCACCCAGTGCCTGCTAAAATGAAAGAACAGCAGACATCTGAACAGGGACAAGGCTGAGAGCCATGCAGTTGAACACACTCTCATGCACTTGGAACTCCAGATCATGTGTAAAACATACTCTACGAACAGCACTAAACACATTACCTTCACCCCTAAACCTGCTCTGTGCTCCAACACAGACATAACTCACGTTGTATAAACAACTTACCTTTGATAAGTTGCTGCACTAATGCACTATTGGGACCCTTGTCAGTACTGTGCACGATGCAGTTAGCTATCCTGGTGAGGTGTCCCATGTAACCATGTCGTCTTCCTCCCTCAGCTCTGACAAGGGGAAAGGACAGACATTCAGATTACTGATAGGAATAATCTGATAGGCAAATACTGTGGATTCTTAGGAAACTAGTCTGAAAATGGAATGTCCCAGATATTACTAGGCAGCAAGGCATGGGGAGTATATTTTGCTCATTCCAAGATTATCTAACAACCTTACTTAACAGAACATGTCTAATTCAAATATCAAAAAGAAATCATTAGTTGTCAGGAACATAGCATCTTCACATTCACTGATGCCAGACATCACTGTAACTTTCCGTTTTTTCTTCTTTTAGCATAGTTTTAAGACTTTTAATTAGATTACAGGACTGAGGTGAGCATTCTGCTGGTTTGTTTCCTACAAGACAACATACTTCAGTCATATGAAGTGACACAGGTAATTACTACCAATGACATTTTTAAGTTAAGCTATGGCTGGTCTGAGAACTTGGCTGAGATAACAGAGTTAATGAACTTGCACTTGCCACTACAGCACTTTGAATGCAGGCAAGCCAACTTAGACCATATTCCTTTCTCCTTTTCATAGGACCTGATCTTCCTAACCATGTTCAATCCTTAAATTGAGACAAATTTTTTTCTATGTGATTTCACCGCCTGTTTACAAAGTTTTAAGACTTTATGAAACAAAAGATTTTTGACGGCAGATGGCAGAGTACAAACTGAAGAGATCTTTGTGTAAAGGGAGAAAAACCTTTTAGGAGCCACAAAACTAAATGATACTATGCTTGGAGGCTTGCTTGGAAAACAGAATACCCCTAGATAACCTGAGAGGATCTGGGGCCCTCTAATGTTCCTAGTGGATAGGGTGATCTCAAATGAGCTAGTAAAAGCCTCCTTTTGTTTCACAGTAAGATCCAGAGACCCAAATGTTCTGGTGGGCAGCTTCTAAGTCCCCTTAAGCCTGTTAAGTGAAAACAAAGGTCCATGTGCAAGGCTTCTTGTCCAGGGCTGCCGATCTGATTTTGGCTTCTGGTGCCAAAGAAAGCATTAACAAAGTTCTTCTGGAACGCCTAGCCTTTAGAGGACGGGCCTAGAGGGAGGCAGAGTACATAGGGCACCCGGTGCTGGCCATAAAACAAAAATTAGAAAAATATCACTGCGGACGTGGCTCAAGTGGTAGAGCACCTGCCTAGCAAGGGTGGGGCCCTCAATTTAAACCCCAGTACTGCCAAAAAACCAAAACAAAACAAAGAAAAATACCTGCTAAAATGTAACTTATTTTTGTTTTACTATAGCGAAAAAGGAGAAAACTGCTATTTTCTTCAAATTAAATCAAACTGAATTCTTTTCAAAAATAATTTACTTACTGTTTCTTCTCATTCATTTCCCAGGCTTCAAGTATTCGTTCTATTAACTGACATTTTTTGAAAAAGCTGAATAAGAAAGAATATTCCAGTTAACCTTTATATAAATGTCAAAGTGTCAAACTTTAAAGCAAAATACAAGTCTAGATGAACAGAGTAGTGGCATCCTTAAGGCAGCTATGAGTCACTGGCCAAGCTACACGCAACGTGGTGATAGGTTTACTCCAGAACCTCAGAACACTTCGGAATTCTAATCAGAACTGGGAAACTCACTGTTACAGGGACTGCCACAAAGGAGCACTGAACTGAGGCAAAGCTGGGAGCTGTCAGCAAGGAAAATTCAGTCAGAATTATATACAGCCTGACCAAAATTCAAATGTACTAAAGAAGATTTATGCCTTCGGCAAAAACTTAACTAAGAATCCAACACAATACTTTACACACTAGCCTGGGACTGGCACAAGGTGGCCAGCGAGGATGGGTGGTGATGGTAGAAGGAAGGGCCAGGCCCAGGCTGCTGGCCTCCCTGTCCCCAAAGGGTCTTTCTTTTTTTTTTTTTGTGGTACTGGAGTCTGAACTCAGCAGGAGCTCTATGGAGTGAGCCACACCTCCAGTACATTTTGGTGTGGTTATTCTAGAGGTGGAGCCTCATGAACTATTTGCTGGGGATGGCCCTGAACTGAGATCCTCACTATCTCTGCCTTCCAAGTGATTAGGATTACAGGGTGGAGCAAAAGATGCCCATTTCACGATTTTTTTCTTAAAGGACAATTATTTGTCCAGGATTTGATTCATTAGACAAAACTGCAATGAACACATGACAGGACTCTAAAGTCTAATCTGTCATTAAACTTCACTTGGTTTGACCCTGAAATGGAAAACCATGGTAGTCCGGAGAGAATAACAGCAAGACAAGACTATATGAGCTTACATGTTTCAATAACAAATTGTCACCAGTGGACTCTTGATCAGTAATTGTGCCATTTTCTGTGTTCTCAAAAGGACTGGCAAGAATCAGTGCAATACAAATTTCCACTTGTGTATGCAAAAATTATTCCATGTATATTTGAAGAACATATCCTACAAAAGAAAAAGTGTTTTCTTCAGTTACCTAAATGCTCAAGCTACTATGTTCATACATTCACTAATTTAATAAAGTAAAAATGATGTGTTCTCAGTCCAGTAAGACTAATTAAAGGGAACAGTTTACTTTAAAGTGGATTTAAAATACCACTTCAACATGCTTATTCAACATGCCAGAATTTGTACAGAATCTATGAGAAACTAACAAGAAGCACACCAACATAAGTTTTCTCACAGAAAGAAAGTACCTTTTTATTTTCAAACAATTCATGCCAATAATAAGTTTGATACATTTTCAGTAGTTTTCATCCTGTAATTTCTACATGTCATGAAGAATAATGACCTTTTCTGATCAAACAGCCTTCAGTAAACTTTTCTTTGCAGATTTAACACCATAAAGCAACCATGGATCATTTTGAGAAAAATAAGAAATATGAATCACAAGGCAGCATTTATTAATTTTTTTTTTTTGAGAATGCAAGTCTAGGGTTTAATTTAAGACTTTCATTGCAAAGATTTACATCCACTATAGTCAGAGAATTTAACTTATTAAAGTTTCGATGGTAACACCTGGTTGGAAGAGCGAGGCAAGGTGCATTTTAACAAGTACCAAGGAACCAAAGCGAGTCAACGTGGACCGAGAAGCGAAACTAAGCAGAAAACGGAAGAGGATACTCACTTTTGAAAAACTGAGATGCAGGCAGTTTTGCTTTCCAAATACCATTGCGATATATCCCTCCAAGAGAACACTTTGGTGATTAGTCCTTTTTCTACTCACCCAAAGATTACAGTTGCTTTTGGATAACAGTTTTCTTCCATTCTTAATGAAAAGGCTGTTTGCTCTAATTTACACCATCTAACACAGACAGGCCATACACAGTGTGGGAGGACACTCACGACCACTTTGTTCTGTCCGTTCTGGTTACACTATGCCCCCCTAACCATCCAGGCGCTCGTGGATAGCTCATACTCCACCCGAATTGGCCTACAGAGTGATGTATGCGTGGGGAGCACCTCCCTATTAGAGTGTCTGAGAATTCGGCAACAGAACAATCTGATACCTCCACACCCACATCATACAACACGGCTTGTGATAGGCCAGTCAGTGGGCTAATGGCAGCATAGCAGTTCCTGGCAGACCTGCTTAATAAAGTAGTATGTCCTATACCTTGTCCGCTGCCATCAATGGTCCTCGGCTTGGCCAGTAGGACATTACTGGAAGCTATATCAGAACAAGTATAGTCTCATTATGAATCTGAAGTCAATGCTAAATATTCAGAATATCAAATGCGAAATTGCAATGATCCTCTGTGCGGAGGGGGAAGTGTGCTCCACACAATCATGACTACCTAAATGTGTTCAGCTCATCAACCCTCCCTCCGAACGTAATATACTGACTAAGCGTATTGCCGTATATGAAGCAGGACCTGGAATATCAACCGAATCCACATGTCAACCGGTATTCCATACGGCAAAGGGAATACCAGTAAATGCCCCATGTTGTCTTCATCACAACATATTCTCTCGAGGAAGTAAATGAAATATTTGTTAAGTGAACAAACAAGCAAAAGGCACACTCTCTGAGGCAACAGCAAAACCAAGTACCAAAAACGCTGAATCAACAAGTTCTAAGCTTGAATTCTACAACGCTAGCAGAGAGAAATGTAAAGCTGCTAACGGATAGCATTAGAATGATTGATGAGAGCAGCGTCCTGGCAGCTTGTGGCCTACAGATCCGAACTACGCTGGGAGGCTTAGAGTCAATTGGGCTAAGAATTGTGGTTCCAGGCCAGGACTGGGCTTGGAGCTCATCGAAACACCGCACCAAGCGATTATGGCTAGCATGATGAAACATATCTACAAACAATTCCCAAAGCTACACTTAGAGGCTGAGAGTTCAGGAGGAGCACCTCCAGGCACAAATGGGCAAAAAAAGCTTAAGAGCCCTAATATCTTCAACTGAAAAAAGCATCTGGAGCATAGATGGACAATGTAGAATACTCTCATCCCAGTAACAATGGAGCAGAAAACCCTAAAGTTAGGAGGAACAAGATGTGTCAGGACCAACACTGGGCAAAAAGCGATAACCCATAAATCTGCCAAAAATGGGCAAAGAAGGTGTTGACTCAAGACGAGTAGAATTGCCTGCTAGCACAAGTGTAAAGCCCCTGAAGCTTCCAACCCTAGAGAGAGAAGTGAGAAAAGAGAAAGAAAGATGAGAGAGATGATGATGATGCAAATAATCACTCAGAATAAAGAAGATCAAAGTAAATATTCATTGACTTAAAAATTTATAGAAAGAATGTAAGCCTGCGCCTAGCAACCAAAGTATGCTGAAAGAGAAAGCAGAAATAATAAAGTCAATAGAAAAAACAAACAAACAAAACAAAAAAAAATCCAAACATAATAACAACAACACACACCACACTCACATATCTCAAATTCTGGCCAGAAGTCTAGGAAACTAAAAGAAGAGCTACAAGTAGGTAACGTTAAGAGCCACAGTTCCATAGGTACTGCCAAAATTCCAAGGTGGAAATAATGAACATCAGAAGTCAGCCTCTGAGATCACAGCCGTCTAAAATCGCGAGTCACCTTACAAAAACCAGTAGTGCCAGCCACCTGAAAAGCACAATCTGGAAGAACTGTAACAAGACTCCTGAACCGGCATGGGTGAGTATATTTTTGTGCTCCCTCTCCTCTGAAAGGCTAACAGAAAAACACTTCCAATATGCGAAGCTGAGAAGCTAGTACACTAATCCCAACAAGCAGCACAGGAGACAGCACACAGAGAATGAACACCAACATATTAGGGGACACTGATCCAACACACACAGGGCAAAAGACAGAAAAAGGAATCTTGAGAGAACTGGCATGGGGAATTCTAGAAGAACCAGTCTTCCCAAAGTGCAATGCTCTTCCCCCTAATCTAAACCCCTGCAGCAACACGAGTGCTGTGGGCTGTGAGGAATGCTGCTCACAGACGGTGGATTGCCCTCCATCACAGGTTTCTTCAAAGGCCCCACTCATGGCTACATTTTCCACTGAAACACCCTGCACCCTGTCCTTCCCAGGCTACACACTAAAACTGAAACCTGCTACTTTTTTAACAAAGAAGGTTCAATCTCCCACTCTCAATGAGAAAAGACGAACAGAACACTTGAGCACTTAATACTTTTAACCTGAAAAGTACATGTTACAAGAAGAAAACACTTATTACTGTAAGTGCCCAAGAATTGCCAGAACAAACTCACCTTCCTAAGCAGACATTTGTTAATTCTAAATTTACCTCAGTTCACCAATTTAAGACAAACAATATGGATACAAAGCCAATTAAAAGCTAATTCTAAAGCAGCAAAAATAACTGGCAGTGTACCTTTTAAACACATCTTGCCGCAATGCTGACCACAAATACTCTTGTATTCCCAAGTCCACATAGTTCCAGTGACTGCTTAAACAAATTTCTAAGCTGGCCAGCAGTGCTTATGACAGCACCCCTACCTGGGTGGCTCACAGAAGAGTTCATGAAAAGATCCAAGCCTTTCCTCTGATGGCTTCTAGAACACCTCTTGTTAAAACGTTGATCCTGCTGACATGACTCAAGCCTGGAGGCAGATCTCTATATGACCTTCAAATCTGGAAACAAAGAAAGGTAAATTTAGTATTATAATTTTAGAATAAAATCATTTAAAGTGCCCCTTATCAAACATGTAGGTACACATTTAATGATAACATGTCCACACAATGGTTACACCAACATTTCTGGCTGGTAGAGAACAGACAAAAGATAGTGTAGTAAAACAAAAAAAAGGGTTGCAAAACTTTGTTGGAGACTAGCCAATCCAAAAAACGGCTAAGTGTGCCATGGCAAATTATATGATCGCTCCAGATTTTTCCTAGACTCCTGACTCCCTGACGTATCAGAAAATTAGAGAGCAAATGGAATAAGCTGATTCTTGAATATATAGGCACATCAGATTACCTACCAGTTTGGATGTGAATGATAAACAGCCTGCAGTTATCCCAGAGAGTCACTGTTGGGTAGTCAACACTGTTTCCTATTAAAAAGGTTTCATTTATTCTACATAAATCAGTCACTACGACCCCACAAGCCCAGAGAAGAGGAGACACATCAATAGGAGTTTACAAGTAGGAATATGAAGTTCAAATTAAAATGCCGTGTGTTGACTCCACAGCAACGCAAAATAAACACAACTAAATAACATTGTTGCTAGGGCAAGACTGTATGAGCCCCAATCCACCGCTACTTCACTTACCAGTGAATCATGACTTCAGAACATCCTTCCTAGGACTGCAGTGAGGATCACACTAATGCCACACAAAGCACTGTATAGTGCTTACTGTGGAAATTTCCAGTGCTGAGGATTGAACCCCAGGACCTCTTGCATGTAGGCAAGCCCTGTATCACTGAGTCACACCCCCAACCCTGTGTACGTAGTTCCTGAGGGCCACATGGAACAGCCTTCAGAAACTCAAGTACTTCTGGCTATGATTATGTACCTTTTGATATTTAAATGTGAAAAGGTCTCATAATTTATTAGCCAAAGAGAATTTTATTAGTTTCTGTCTAAGAAGCCATGCAAAAATTTCTTTATATCCCCATAACTCTGTAATCATTTGCAATTTTTTTCCTTTTGGTATTTTTTAACTTATCTGAATTTACTTAAGAGTGGTATGGTGTATATGTGTTTCCCACTTTCTTAGACCATGACTCTAGAATGACTGGCTTCTCCTCATGTATGCTAAAAAACATTAAAATACAAACTAAAACTCTTCAATTTTTCATGCTTTATTCATTTACCTAATAAACGCTTGGGAGTGGTGGTGAGTGCTATACAGCAGTCCGGCTGACTTGATACCGTAGTCAATGCCCATGGTACTTTCCACAACACATACCACTGGCACTGCACTGCCACTTTCACTGTAATGGCTGTGTATTATCACATGCAGTAAGGAAAGACTGTCTAAGTTGTCTACGAAAACTGCAATACTTTGACAAAGTGGCCATGGCACTCTGTACCCCAACAGGAATGCATGTGACTTCCAGGTGGTACCACAGTCGGCGCCACAGCTGGGAGCAGAGGGTGCCATGTAGTTCTTTGCAGCGGTTTGACGCGAAACGATAGATGGAGCTGAGGGTGAGCTGCCGCCAAAAGAAATGTATCCACAAGCTTAATGCTCAGAACTGTATTAATGACAAGCCTGTTATTGGGGAAGCGTGTTTGCTGGACGAGTAACGAATTAACAATCCCTTTCGGATGAAAGACGACCCTAGGTTACACAGGCAGGCCCCAAATGCTATCACACTGTATGATAAGAAAGAAGAAAAGGCAAACAAACCACGAAGATGCTCAGAGTGATGTCACAAGCCACAGTCACTAGAAACTGGAAAAGAGGCAACTCAAGGAAACACGGTTGCTTCAACACCTTAATCTATGGACTTCTGAGCATCCACAACTGTAAGAGAACAAATTTCTGTTGTTTCTGACAGCGCAAGTTTGAAGTATTAGTTCACAGACAGAGGACAAATGAGTAGGAACTATTAAATACCTCATGTAGCGTTTTAACTCTGAATTCTCATTAGTGACAAATCGTTCCAACTGGTCACACGCTACAATCTTGAGTGTTCTTAATCTTTTACGTTTTTAGCTCTAGTTCTCGAGTTTTCAGTTTGAAAAGCAGGAATTTTAAATTTTTTAAATGTAATCTGAGTTCATCAACTTTCTTTTCTCCCTCCTCTCCCTTTTTTCTTTTTAGTGCTAGGGATCAAACAAGGAAGGACCTCATGCATGCGTGGCAAGTGTTTCTACCACTGAGCTATACCTCCAGCCCAACTTCATAGATTGGGTTTTTGGTGATATATCAAGAAAATTCTGCCTAACTCTGGGCAAAAGATTTTGTTTTCGTCCCATTTTAGGATTAATGTGTTTCTAGTAAAGCATTTTGAGTAAATTTTTATATAATCTGCAAGGTACATATGAGACCTGATTCTTTTGCCTATAAATTGTCCAATTTGTGGAAGTACTGGAAATATCCTTTCTCTACTGATTTGCCCCCATCTCTCCGTCAAAAATCACATATACGTGTAGGTCTACTTCTGGATTCTTCCAATGCCCTATGTCTATTATTTCACCATGTTGTCCTGAAATCTCAGAGTCTAAAGCCCACCAAATATTCTCTTCCAATTTTTTTTTTTGAGTATTGTGTTTTGGGTTTCCTTAAGTTTTAGAATTAGCTTGATTTCTATTTAAAAATTCTTATTTAGCCAGGCATCGGTGGCTGACACCTGTAATCCTAGCTACTCTGGAGGAAGAGAACAGAAGGTTCAAGGGTAGTCTGGGCAAATAGTTTGAGAGACCCTATCTCAGACATACACAGAGGAGTGACTCAAGTGGTAGCAAGTGTGAAGCCGAGTTCAAACCTCAGTACTGCCAAAAAATACCCAACAAAATGAATTTATGTTTTTACCATTTTCAAATTCTAATCGTCCAATGCTTGTATGTAGAGACTCAACTCATGTCTGGATATCTGACTTGGTCTCCTGGCAGATGCTCTGACACTCTCTACAAAGATGCCCTTCCCTCTGTGAACAGACAATTCTGCACCGTCCTTTCCAACCTGTGCTTCTCTTTCCTTCTGACTCACCACACTGACAATGCCCTCCTGCAAGGGGCTGAACTGGCATTGTAACGGTGACTATCCTTGCCCTGTCCCTCAGTTTGGAGGGACTCCCTATTGGAGTTTGTACAGAGCCCTTTGTCAGTTTCCCAGGTAATATGCGAGAGGGATTACCTGAAAGATTTTGATGAAATGGTCATATAAGATTGCTTCATTGTCCTGTTCATGTGTTGATTTTTGAAAGGTGAGTGAGCCTCGAGTTCCCAGATAGGCCACATTTCATCACGACATTACTATATACTTTCAACATGCTGTTGAACTGTTAAGATTGGTTTGCTAGTATTTTCTGGATGAATTTGCATGTAAGCTATTATGTAATCTTGCATTTTTTCCCCTTTAATACTTTTGCCTAGTTTAATATAGTTTCAAGATAATATGAACTGTTCCCTCTTCTATATTTTAGTAAAGTTCTTATATCTTTAGCAGAATTTATCAATAGCCTATTTTATAGGCAAGGAGTTTGTATAGTATTGTTCATGCTACCTATTTCTTCTTTTTTGTTGTTGTTCTATTTGGTGGGTTGTTTTTTTGTGTGTGGTATTGGAGTTTCAACTACTGAGAGCCTTATGCTTGCTAGGCAAGCACTCTACGGTGTGAGCCATTCCGCCAGCCTTACCTATTTCTTAAGTGGTCTTTTTAAGCTTTTCTTCCCCCCTTAAAGAATCTAAATTACTTCCTTCCTTCAGTTGCTAAATTTACTTAATGAGTTGTTTGTTACCATTTTTTAAAAATTACTTTTATTTTTTGCAGTACTGGGGTTTGAATTCAGGACCTCGTACTTACTAGTCAGGTGCTCTACTCCTTGAGCCATGCCCCTAGCCCTTTTTGCCCTCTTTTTCCAGTAGGTACTTGAGTTTATGCCCAGGCCAGCCTGGATTGTGTAGCTTCCTGTGTAACTGGGACAGCAGACACACACCACCATGCCCAGCTTTTTTATTGGTTGAGATGGGGTTGACAAACCTTTTCCCCAGGCTGGCCTCAAACTGAGGACAATGGGCATGAGCCACAGTGCCAGCCTCCACTCTACTACTACTCTCTTAATTTTCACAGGGAAGAGTTTCATAGTGCTCTTTCACTCCTTTTTTTGTAGTTGTGTCTGTTCTAATTTTTCTTAGTCAATCTGGCTAAAGTTTTATCAATTTTATTCATCTTTTCAAAGAAGCAGCTTTTGGTTTCATTGATTTTCTGTATTGTTTTCTTTTCCACTGATATCCACTCTTAAGTAATTTCTCTCCTGCTTATTTTGCATTTAAAGCTTTTTCTTCCCCCCTTAAAGAATCTAAATTACTTCCTTCCTTCAGTTGCTAAATTTACTTAATGAGTTGTTTGTACCATTTTTTAAAAATTACTTTTATTTTTGCAGTACTGGGGTTTGAATTCAGGACCTCGTACTTACTAGTCAGGTGCTCTACTCCTTGAGCCATGCCCCTAGCCCTTTTTGCCCTCATTATTTTTTCCAGTAGGTACTTGAGTTTATGCCCAGGCCAGCCTGGATTGTGTAGCTTCCTGTGTAACTGGGACAGCAGACACACACCACCATGCCCAGCTTTTTATTGGTTGAGATGGGGTTGACAAACCTTTTCCCCAGGCTGGCCTCAAACTGAGGACAATGGGCATGAGCCACAGTGCCAGCCTCCACTCTACTACTACTCTCTTAATTTTCACAGGGAAGAGTTTCATAGTGCTCTTTCACTCCTGTTTTTTTGTAGTTGTGTCTGTTCTAATTTTTCTTAGTCAATCTGGCTAAAGTTTTATCAATTTTATTCATCTTTTCAAAGAAGCAGCTTTTGGTTTCATTGATTTTCTGTATTGTTTTTCTTTTCCACTGATATCCACTCTTAAGTAATTTCTCTCCTGCTTATTTTGCATTTAATTTGCTTTTTTTAATAATGAGTTTCTTTAGGTCAGAGCTTAGATTGACATGTGCTTTTTCTCCCCCCACTAATTCAGTCATCTAGTGTTACAATTTTCCCTGTATTGCTTTCACTGAATTCTACAAATTCCAACATGTTTTGTTTCCATACCAAGCAGTTCATAATATTTTCCCTGCCATTTCTTCTATTACACTTGGGTTATTTTGCAGTGTGTTGTTTAATTTCCAAATACTTGAAGCTATTTCAGAATTTTTTTGGGGGGTGGGGGGAGTACTGGGGTTTGAACTCAGGGCCTCATGCTTGGTAGGGAGGCATACCACTTGTGCCACTCTGCCAGAAATCCTTTTTATTGACTGAAGAGTCATACATGCAATATGGCCTAAACATGTATGTTTTGTGAATTTTATTATTTTAAATTTGTTTTATGGCTGAAAATCTAGTCTATCTCCATACTATCAACTGAATGTTAATCTCTAAAAATTCATATATTGAAATTCTAACCTCCAATATGAAAACATTAGGAAGTTGAACTTCAGGGCGGTAATTATGGCATGAACATAGAGCATTCACGAACAGGATTAGTGAGCTTATCAGAAGAGGACAGTTTGCTTCCACCCTCTCTTACCATGTGAAGAGACGGTAAGAAGGTAGCATCTACAAACCTTGAAGTAGCTCTCATTAGTCACTGGATCTGTCAGTACCTTAATCCTGGACTTCTTAGCCTCTAGACTGTGAAAAATAAATGTCTGTTGCTTAAACCTCCCAGTCTATGGTAATTTGTTATAGGAGCCTGAAGTAGGATTCATGGCACAAGTTTCATGGCACCTGAAAAGCATGTCAATTCTGTGATGCTGAAGGAAGAGTTCTACAAGTGTCAGGAAGACCGCAAGTATGCTGGTGCTGTCCAAGTCTTCCGTGTTCTGTATGACTGTTCTGTCAAATTCTGTCAGGCTAGGTGCAGACATACAGAAACATTTCAATGATGGCACACAGCTTCCATTTAACACACAGCCAGTTTCCTCTATTAACACCTGTGTACATTCGTCACAATAAATTAATACTGATGTATAAAATCCACACTTTCTTCAGATTTTCCTAAGTTATCAGCCAGTGCCCTTCCCCTATTCCATAATTCCATCAGGGCATCACATTATATTTGGCTGCCTTATCTTCTTAGTATCCTCTTAGCTGTAGTAGACAGATGTTTCTGTTTTGGAATTACCTTACAGTGAGTTCTGGTCAGGTCTTCTGCAGAAAGACCCTCCACTGGGACGTTCTGATGTTCTTCTGATGGCTACAGGTCTTCGGGAGGAAGACCACATGGGTGAAAATGCCGCCTTTAATACATCCTATTTAGGGCATACGTTAGGAACATGACTGATCACTGCTGTCAACTTTGGTCATCTGGCTGAGGCCATTTGTCAGGCTCTATACTGTGAGGTTACTCTTTTTATTCTTTTACCATATGGTGCTCTTTGGAAGGAAGTTACCATGTATAGTCCATACTTAAAAGGAGTGGAGAGTTCCAGCCTACCTCCTGACGATGAGCCCATAACCTATGTGGAATTCTTCTATAGGAGTCACCTCTCTCCCTCCGTTTATTTAACTGTTTGTATCAGATGGACTCATGGACATGGACTTTATAATTTGGGCTATATACAATACCACTTTATTATGCCAATTATTTCAGCTTTGGCCACTGAAAGATATCATTTTATACACACACACTCACACTTTTTTCCAGCACTTCCCTACTTTCTGGGACTTGAAGATGTTTCATTTTGTATGTTTATTGCCCAAGTCATAGAACCAGTCATTTTACTAAGGAGACTTTGTACTTTACTTGGAGATTTGGACAATCTAACTTGTGTTCCTGGTGCTATGTAATTACTTCTGGGTCCTCTCAGCTCACAAGCAACTGTCTTCTTTAATTTTTTTTGTACTGGGGTTTGAACTCTGGGCCTCACGCTTGCTAAGCAGGCACTCTACCACTTGAGCCATTCTGCCAGCCCCTGTCTTTTTCCAATTCTTACTATTTCATCATAGGTCATTTCTAATGTCCTATGCTGATTTTTCTCCTTAATTATGTCAATGTTTACCAAAGCCTAGGGGCATTGTTCATGTACTGTCCTTAATTTCTACACTTCCACGAGCGACCATCTCTCTGCTAAAGTTCATCTGTTTGCATATTGTCCACTTTTTCTACAACTCTTTAACACATCAATCATAGTTATATTAGATATCCTTTCTGAAAGTTCTAACATTTTTTTGAGTTGAGTTCTATTACTGCTTATTCTCTTCAGAGTTTGTAAGGGTTCTTTTCATATTTCTCATGTCTTATTTTTCAGTTGATAGTGGACTTCTTGCGTAGGCACAGAAACTGATGTACATAGTATTTATGTAAAAGTGGATATATCCTAGCCCTTTAGTGTGGGGGTTGAATTAATCTAGCCAGCAGCAGAGCTAGGCTTAGGTTTTGTTATTACAGTGATTTCCTTCAGTGCACTAAAGACTTCAAATTAGTCTCAAGTTACTTTGCATTTATGGTTAGGGTCAGTGTGTTAAATTTTCCTGGATGTCTGCTCCACCACAGACTGATGACACTCCCCGTTCAGCTTGCCCTGAGCTTGGAGCACACCCCTCTGCGTGCTAGCCTTTCCTGCAGCAGCAAATGACTGCAACTTGTTCCCTCACACCTGCAGGAGAGGCACAAGGTAGGAACAATGCTCTGTTGTTTTGGTTCAGCCTCAGTCTTAGTAGTCCTGGGTCTCAGGGGTGGGGTCTTCTCAGTGATCCTACCCTTGCTCCAGCTGTAGGGAACCTCTAATAGTTTGTGCACACAATGTTTCTGCCTCTCACAGGATAGAGAATTTTCCTGGTTCCTTCCTCCCACTATATGTCTTCCCTTTTCTCAGGGGCTTAGGGTTTTGTTAGGTGGGGCAAGAACTGAGAGGGTCCTGGAGGGGTATCTTGCATTTCCCCCCATGGCTGCTCTGTGGACCAGGCCTATACTACAATGGAGCTTCCCCAACTTCCCTGCCTTGCCACTAGTATTTCTCTGAAGAAGCACTTGCAAGTGTGTGCAAACAGTCCTGGTGTCAGAGCTGTCAGGTGATTTAGAAGTTACATAATGCACTCTTACTCTAATTATAAAAAATCTGAATTATAATTTTACCAAGAAGCAAAGAAACAAAGTATGAGAACTGCCACAGTTTAAGGACTGTAATATGCACTATTGTATATATAACTTCTTATATTTTAAGTTTTGTTAATAACATGGAATTTTTCCAACATCTGACTTTTTTGGGGGGGGGGTTACTGGGGTTTGAATTCAGGCTTCCCGCTTGCTAGGCAGGTGCTCTACTCTTGAAACATATCTGCAGCCCTGTACCACCATGCCCATCTTATTGATTGCAAAGGGGCCTATCCAACTTTTTGCCCAGACTGACCTTGAACCTTCCCATCTCTACCTCAGGAGGATTTGGGATTATGTGTGTAAACCACCCATGCCCGGCCCTCGACATTTGACTTTTTTCGATCAAAATTGTTTCTTACTCATAACTTACCAATATATTTCCTTTTTTCTCCCCCAAGACAGGGTCTTGCTACATAGCCCAGACTTGTCTTGATCTCTAGATCCTCCTACATCAATGTCCCAAGTGCTGGCTGGGATTATGGGATTACAGGTGTTCGCCACCATGCCCAATATATCTTAAATTCTTCATCCTTGTTTTTCTGTTTGGCTTTGGTGAAGTTCGCCTTTAAGTAATGTACCGAAGAACAGTATAAAAAGGAATGCCAAGTTTTATATACTTGAATATGTCTGTTTTGTTCTCACACTTCAGACTACATCATTTCAGGCTTACAACCCTGCCTTCTGGTTTCCAGCATTTAGACAGCTTTACAAATGAGATGCCTAGCAATCTGATGCACTTAATAGGTAAACTAGGTTTCTTATCCAGACACTTTGAAGATTTATTGTTTATCTCTAGGATTCAGGAATCATATCAAGATAAATCTGAGTCGTTTTTAGTTTTTCTGTGTGTTTTTGTTTTGCTTTTTTTTTTTATGGTAATGGGATTTGAACTTAGAGCCTCACACTTGCTAGGCAGGTACTCTACTGCTTAAGCCCTCCGTCAGCCTCCTGAACCTAATTTTATAATTTTAATCTTGGTTGGTAAACTTTTCTGATGAGAATTAAACCTCCTTCTAGTCAGAAATTTCCCTTTCATTATCATCTTCTTTATTTGGTCTGTTTAAATTGTTCAGTTGTGCTTCCTCCTTTTCATATGCAAAAATGGATGGTTTTATCTCAGATTTATTTCACGTCAGGGTAGTCCACATAAGCCTGCCAATACCATTTAACGCGTTTTTAGGCTGCAGAGAAAAGGTGGAATGTATTCAAGCATGAGCAACAAGACAGCCATGCACCAACTGACTAGTGACTTATGCTGTCGCTTACTTTTGTAAAATATGAGCTTCAAAGAAAGACACAGAAATTGTACACATAATCCCCATATGACAATATAATTGAAGTAATGATGCTAAACCTCCCTTCCATTATTACTGACCAAAGACAAAGCAAGAAAAAGAGATGAGGAACTTGGGAAGCAGAAGGCGGTGTGGTTGTCTTTACCATTGTTTCAGAATCAACATTTCAGCACTAAAAGTAAAAGCAGACATCTTATATGGCTAAAGACTTCACCTGCTCAGAGAGGACTTTCTTCTTCGTGTCACCTGATTTAATGGATCCAGGAATGAGGGATAAGGGGGGAAAATACCCCAGCCTCTAAATTACACATTCCTGGAACAGTTACATATTCCTGCCTCTTCAAATTCTCATGTTCCAAGAGCAGTTAGAAAATCTAGACAATTAGTAAGCAAATTAACCCTGGATAGAAACTGTAAAGAATAACATGACAAACATTAAATGGCTGCTTCAGGAACAAAAATCCATACATGGGAAAAAAATACCACATTCTTGCTTATGAAACAGCTAGCAGACATCGGTCCTTCAGGCTCCAAGCCACCTGCCTACCCACTGCCCACAGCCTCAGGAACTGCAGTGCCCTCACAGTGAAACCCAGGCAAACATTCCATGTGAGGGTCTGTGAAAGACAGTCTTAAGATGGAAAGAGGCCCTCAATCAGCACATGGAGGAAAAAGACCCACCTGCCAGGGACACCTATATTCCACTGTCATGAGCAAGAAATATGCTGCTGTTTGTTTACAACATTGTCCAGGTTCCTGTTTTGTTTATTATAGCATTTTTATAGCTACTACAAAAAACAAAATACTGCCAATAAGTAGTGTTCATCAAACCATATTTTTCAACCACATTCTATACTACATGATAGTCAAATAGAACTAAGTTATAGTTTATATAGCAGAAAAAGATCCAGCACAGTAAACTTAAAGGGCATGGTACTGTAGGTTATCTAGTAAGAACTCTTTTAAGAAACCTAAAAGGCAAACAAGATGGATCATTTTGTAAGATAAAAGGAAAGCTTACGTTGGTCGTCGTGTCTCAAGTAAAGTCAGTAAAATCTGGATTGCACTGACTATGGCTGATTCATTTTTCTCCTTGTGGAAAATATTTGATAGAAGCTGCTCTATAATTTCTTGCCTAGGGAAACAAATCAACAGTCAAGGACTAATTGCAACATCATTTAATATAACAACTCATGTAAGAGTCAACTGCACATGGGATACTTGTTTTACTTCATACTTATTTTAATATATTTATCAAAATAAATTCTGCTTATTACTCACATAAGTCATATCCCTTTAGCACAGTAATCTGGGCCACGTTTGCCTTTGCCAGTCTTGATGAGAAGCAACAAGTATTTCAAGACTGAAAGTGACCCCTACTCAGACCAGGCTTTGATAGGTGATGGCTAAGGTGGTAAAAAGACTTAGAACTCGTCACTCCCACAGAAGGAGGGGAAATTTTCTAAAAGGCAAAGTAGAACCCATGGTTTTTCACTACAGGCGTGAATATGTAATTAACAGATCTAAAAGAGGTAAAAAGAGTATCACATGTTGCCTTAAAAAGACAAATCAAAATAACCAGCGCTAAAATTTGTGAGACCTCTAGCCAAAAAGAGTATTATAAAAGTCATATAGCACCCACTCACCAGTCTATGGAATAAAGATTAGGTTTACAACTGAGCACTAGAAAACAGGCTGTCTTTTCCAGTAAATACATACACTATTCAGTGGTGGCCTCACCCAGGTGGAGGTATAGTGGCACAGCATGCAACTGTGCATGTCCATATTCTCAAGCAACACAGTGCTCTCTCTCTCACCAGAGCAATGCCATACTTTCCTAACAATGAAGGTAATGTCTAATAGGCCTGAACCAGTTCATGGTGGCATCAAATTGGAAGCCTGCCACTGATGAACAAGAATAACATAATAACCATAATTCAACAGCATAGCACCTGCGCCATATTCTGATTCTTACCTAAATATACCATTATCACCAATCACAGAAAAGACCATCAGAGGATCTGAGCTCACCAAACTGGATAAAACACATGTCTTATTTAGATAAAAGGCCTTTGTTTACATGAGGAAGAATATATTCACTTTTCTACTTAAAAAAAACAGGAGTGAGCATCAGTAAAACTCATGATTATGAGCTGTTTATGCATGAAGCCATCTAGATTCTTTACCCATGTCTTTGGGACAATGGCTCACTCTGGTTTTTCTTTTTTATAAGGGAGGCTACAGGAAAGACTCACTCCTGCAAAACTAACTGGCTCAAATGGAATCAAACTCAATTTGCAATCCTAAAAAAACTGTTCAAGGAATTTTTGAACTTCAAAATTTTTCCAGAACCGCTAAATATTAATTATCACACTTTAATCTACTTAACTGAAGATTTCATGGCATTACTATTAGCCTTTATTATATTTATTATATTTGGGGATTTTTTTTTTGGTGGTACTAGGGATTTGAACTCGGGACCTTGCACTTGCTTGGCAGGTGCTCTACCACTTGAGCCACTATCCCAGCCCCTTTACTTTTTAACTTCAGCTAATTTCAAACACTTAAGTACTAATCTATACTTACATTTACATATGTGATGTTTACATATACAGTGGTGGCCAATCTGTGGGTTGCTTGGTGTTATAATATGGAGTTAGATAATTTATTTTATATTATGTCTTATGAGAAGATTGTATTAATAGCATATTAATTTATTAAACATATATAGTAAACATTATATGCTTGTCAAATATACAGTTGCTCCTATGTTTAGTAAAGGTTTTCTCAACTCATGGAAGCCTTCTGTCATTGTATTTTCTCAATCAACAGACACTGTCAGGTATTAGAAGGGATTGAGTCTCATTCTCAAAAGGCCTGTTTCACTATTATAGATGAAGTCTCCCACTGCTAAATGCAATGAAGCCTTTATCTGACAGCATTGCAGGACCACTGACCCATCAGGTCCATGTACTTAAAGAATCTTACTCCAACATTTAATGATATGAACTATGAGCACATACTTATCTTCATTCCAGAAATTACAGGGAACTAAAGATACAACTTGAAATTTAAAAGCTAGCATGCACATAGCCTTTAGCGGTTCTGTAACTGAGGACTTGGTTACCATGCTGACCTGCTGGGCTGCCCCTACACTGGTCACTCAGTACATGTAGCCACCAACCAACACCAAGAATGTATCTCGTCTAATCTGACATGCCTTGAAGGGCTGGTGGAGTGGCTCAAGTGCTAGAGCGCTTGCCTAGCAAGCGTGAAGCCCTGAGTTCAAACCCCAGCACCTCAAAGCAGACTATGACGTACTTGAAGTGTAAACCTCATGCTGGATTTCAAGACTTCAAACAATTTTTTAAGTTACATACGAATTTGACTCTCTTTCTACTGGATAGTGACACAGTAAACCATATGAAACTGCTGATATGCTACACTTCACACTAGAAAATCTTTATGTGCTGTTAAGGCCAAAGTTACTGAAGTGGGACAGGTAAAATGCCATGTTACTCAGCAATTGGTAATCTCCTGTAGTTTGGCTACTTCAGCGAAAGCACCAACTATCTCCTATTGGCAACACATACTGGGAACCACAACTTTACTTCTCATAAGACAGTTGAAAACAAGCTACCTCATCTCTAATTTATTCCTTGTCTGTCTCATACTTGCTAGGGAAATAGCAAACACCAATGTTTTACTTTGACAAAAGAATCATTACAGGTTGTAAGCCAAAAGATGCAAAGAGATTCACTCTGTAGGAAAACTAAAAAAGGACTGAAAAGACTGCCATTCACACTTACTGACAATACTCTTCCCAGTGATTCATCCAAAGAGGGGAAGTGCCCGGTTTTTCTCACAGTAACTTTCAGCTATTTGGATGCAGGCCAAGGAGCATGCTTTCTAAAAATGTGTGAATCTCTGAGGTTATTGTCTTGTTATCTGAGAGAGATTACCTATGAAACTATTTACTATAATTACCTATGTAAACAATGGTCTTCTCTAATTAATAAGAGTTTCTGTTTGAAATCCTAACATTTGTTCTATCCAGCTCCCAGGTTTGGGCCATTGTTAAGTACATGTCTTGTTAAGTACACTCTCAGATGTAAATTACTCTTAAGTAAAGAGTAAATTAAACTTCAAGTAAGCAAGCAGCTAACCCTCAAGGCCAGGACCAGCTGACCAGACCCTCCTAAAATCTCCAGATGAATAAGGATGGTGGTGGCCAGGTGGTCAGAAGTCAACTAAATAACATCCAATCACAAATGAAGTTTCCAGGTAGACTAGGTGGACCTAAATCAGGCAGAGCCCTATATCATCTTCTAGACTTCAGCCACTCCTTGGCTTAGGTTTTTTTTCACTAAGCCTTCCCTTGCAGGGAGCTTTGCTATCCTTTCAATCAACTTTGTGTTTGCTTTACTCTTAGAAAAATAAAAATGTGTGAATCCAGGAAACAAATTAGCAGCACATTCCTGAGGTGCCTTCTCCTCAACGATGAAATAACTGTTCAGGTTAATCCCATTCATCTTCAAAGATACAGTAAACCCCAGAAAGCTGTTCTGGGGAAAAAAAAAAAACAAAAAACCCACAAATAAATTAGTCAAATTCACATGTATACAAGTCTACTCTCCATCAAATGCCTCTTGAAGGTGGTAGTTGCAGTTATGAAGTGACTATCACATGACAGGATAGTTCTGTAAAATCCTCTTTACAGATGTTTGAAAAGTTCAAAGTCCACATATCATTCAGCTTCTTCCCATCGGTCACCACTCTGTGTCACAAACGCGAGAGAAAAGAGCAGGTTTTCCAGCCTTTCACCACCCACGGGTGTTTCCAGGACATGGTGCCCACACAAGCAGCACTGCACTTACCAGTCACTCACGAGGCAATACATCAAACAGCATCAATGAGAGAAATAAGAACCGAATTTTAAACATACTTTTCTAGAGTGGCAAGCAGGGGATCTGGTTCTGTACTGTTCTGAACTTGTAACATCTGGTCTCTGCTCAGGCGAACAATTTCACAAAGTGATTGTGAGGCATTTGAATGTCGCTAAAGGAAAAAAGTACAATTTTAGCTATAAAACTTGTTAGAAGTTAACTTTATAATAAAAAGCATATGTGTGGGTGGGGTTGCTTAAGAAATGACACAAATTGCTGGTGGTGTGACTCAAGTGGTAGAACACTTGGCTAGCAAGCACAATGATAAGTTCAAGCCCCAGCACCACCCAAAAAAAGAAAAAGAAATTAACATAACATTGTCTGTCCCTAGCTTTGGTGTACAAGTCAAGTCAGAAAAGAAGCCTTGAGCGTTTTATTGTTACCCACTCTGATGAACCACATTTGGCAACAATGCACAGTGTACGTTACTGAGTGTGGACAGATGAGAACAAAGCTCCGAAATAAAAAATCTCTTACTGAATACTTAAAAATAACATATCCCTAGAAAACACTTTTATCAAAATAGATGCACACACTAGCCAAGGGGGAGGATGACCCCAAAACAAATACAGCTCTGTGGAAGATACCAATGGGTCACAAATGCTATGATGTCTCCCGGGTGTGTGTGTGTGTGTGTGTGTGTGTGTGTGTGTGGGTGTGTGTGTGTGTGTGTGTGTGTGTGTGTGTGTGTGTGTGTGTGTGTGTGTGTGTGTGTGTGTGTGTGTGTGTGTGTGTGTGTGTGTGTGTGTGTGTGTGTGTGTGTGTGTGTGTGTGTGTGTGTGTGTGTGTGTGTGTGTGTGTGTGTGTGTGTGTGTGTGTGTGTGTTGGGGGGTGGGGGGGGTGTCTATCTACCTTGCAGGGAAGCTGTAAGTCTCAGCATTGTGTGGCATGTAAAACATCAGTGCATTCCCAATACAGGCAGAGGACCACACTACAGCAGAAATGGCAACACATTCTGGCCATCCACACCCACTGACTGGGATCAGGAAATTAATACTTTTTTATTGGTCATTAACTGTGACACAGATGCACAGAAACACACCTACACATGCATGACTATGCACACTCGTGTGTGTGTGTGTGTGTGTGTGTGTGTGTGTGTGTGTGTGTGTGTGTGTGTGTGTGTTGAGACAGGGTCTCACTATGTAGCCCAGGCTGGCCTCGAACTTGTAATACTCCTGGGTTGGCCTCTCTAGTGCTGGGATTACAGGTATGTATACCGCACCTTGCCTGGTCAGTATAATTTTAGCATGCAATTTCATCACTTAATAAAGACAAGTATCAATGGCACTATACAAAGGGTAAAATTAACATTTTTATAACTCAAGTAGGGACGGTGATGACATCCCAAATGTTTTGTCTTTCTCAAAAACCTTAGTGCTGGGGTTCTCCATTACAATCTATCCTGGATCCGGCAGACAAGTGTTAAGCAACCAAATTCTGCGCAATGAAACAAACCTAGTGAGGAACAAGCCTCGTTCATGGAAATCACTCCCTATAAACGGAAGTATATATGGGTGGGCTCTACTTACAACATCACTTTCCACACCCTGCACTGGCTACACTTCTAGCACAGGGGAACTGTGCTCCTGGAAAACAGTTCCCCTGCTCACAGAAGGTGTGCTTGGCATAGAACTAGCCTGAGCTCTCCTAGACAGGGGCTCTCCCATGGAGTACATCCTTGGCACCCAGCCACATGTACACTGGGAGGCATTAAGCATGTCAACGCTGGTAACAGCAGCTACTACTGTAAAGGGAACATGTACTGCGCTGACCCAAAAGGGAACAATGAGGAAATGATGACTTTCTTTAAAGGCCTGCTTTAGACTGACTCCAAGTACCAAAAGTTTTTGAACAGAATAGATAAGAGTAGAAGGGGTTAGATCCAACTCCACAGAAAACTCACCTTTGGAGAGCAATTACACTCCAACTACATACCTCTCCCTTTGCCCTGTTCATCCATGGTGCTCTCCAATCTAACCTGTAACCTAGAAGCATAGGAGGAGGTCCTCAGGCCCACTATGCATCCTGCAGCACCCTTATACCAACTCCTTGTGGATATGAAGCTGACCCATATAGAACCATGTCTATAGATAGTGTTGGCTACAGGCAATCTCAAATAGCTTGGCCTGATACTTGAGGTGGAGATGTTAAGAGAGATAACACTGACTGGCCCTGACATGTGACCCCTCAACACAGGGCTCAATGGGGAGGGAAGAACTCCAACTCAGGCTTCAATACCATTACCATGTCAATCTGTAGCACTCAAGGCAACTCTCAAAGGCCAAGACTAGGAAGTACAATTAAATTGCTATGGGGACTTGGAGCTGCTCAAGATCCTGCTGTGCTGTTTGTGAAGTTCAGTCAGATCTCACAAGTAAGTGCAGATGTGGCCACATCAAGTGGACTACAGATAGGTAGGTATAAAGAAAAAGCAGCATGGAAGGAGGAGATTTGTGTCTATGTCAGGCTCAGCATGAAATCCCAGCTCTAGAAAGGAGACAGTGCTATCTCCCATTTCTGGAAATTTTCTGGGTATATGCAAAATGTAATATTATTTAGAAAACTGTCAACTCAAGAATGCCATCACTGTCCTACCTATCTTCTTTTTTCACCTTCACATTTATGTAGGTATGCTCTGTACCCAAATAAGCAGCTTTTAAAAAATCAAATTTGTAGTCACACAAGAGAACTTACATCTTCTTCTTGCGATGGATGAACTATTTCCACAAGCCTCTGGATAATTTTCTCCTCATTTAACCACTGTAAAACACATTGTAGAAGTAATCATAGCAATGACTGGCTCTTGTTCCAGCCCCAGTGAAGATTAACAAACTTGGAACTATCCATCACATTTTAAGTAGAATGTTACAGGTTTCTCTGGACTTTGAACACTACAGAAAATTAAAAGTCCCCCAAGGAAAATGCCAGTGAATACATTAACAGTGACAATAGTACTAACTCCCCAAATTCCAATGCCCACTAAGTAAAATTCTACACATGAGTTTGACAGCCCTGCGCTAACTCCCAGACAGCCAGCGCTCACAAGGGTCTGTACTTTGGTCACTAGAATGAGGACATTAAGTAGGAAGGAATGTACGCATTTTCTATAAAAGAATGCACATTCTGAACTTTAGAAGAACTGGGAAAAGCAGTACTTAGCACCATGTCTCTGAGTCAAGAAAACAGAGGGACTTTTAGATTTCAAAACCAAATCCACTGAGGAAATACAGTGGCTGGGCTGGGGGAGACACCTAAGAAGCAGAGTGATGGTCATCAGCCCTGTCAGGTAATAAAGAGATGTTATCATGACCACAGGAATCGCTTCTTAACTTCTGCATGAAATGCAGTAAATAAAAATATAAAAGTGACTAGGATAAGAAAAACTAATGGAAAAACCAGGTGGCTTCACATTAGTTCCACAAGGAACTGAAATACCGTAATAAACAAGGCCACTCACTTCTAGAAAGGCCACTGAAAAAAGTCCAAAGGTTAACAGTAAGTTGTGGTAAAGAAATTAAATACAATTTGCTAAAGGCATAAAGAAGCCTGACACTGTCTCCAGCTCCCTCAACTAAAGGGCAATACAAACCAAAGCTAGTAAGCAGGCATCACAGAGGAAGAGACCCAACTTTGGTTTAAAGATGTTTTAAAATGTGGGCACAAATCACCCAGAAGTCGTGATAGAATGAAGATTCTGATTCAGTAGATTTTTTAGAAGCCCACAAATGACGTCTGGGGCATACTTTGAGAAGCAATGTCCCCAAATAGGATGACAAACAGCTATGCATGGCGAGAGACACTCCTGAGCACTGTGGGAGAAGCCAAGAAAACTTGGAGAGCTAAGCAGGGCTGGATGCCCACCTGCTCTGCAGCTACTTGCCACACCTACATCCCAAGTCAATTTCTGGACTAGTTCCCCAAGTCAAATGAGACTTCAGGAGCTGCTATTAACTTTCCCCTAACCTTGGCCCTTATTAACCACCTTATTAGCTCTTTCTCTCCAGAAGTACATTTATTTGGAATTTTAAAATTCAACCTAGAAGTAACCAGAGGAATAAATCACCAAAGCACACAGGCAAACTTCTGCTCATAACAACGCAATTATAGAGGTGTCAAGCCTCCCTCCCATCCTAACAGTCTTCCCCAGCATCATGAACCTCTTTGAAGAAAAGACCCATGTTCACAAAGACACCTAAATAAAAGAACCAGGTGTCCCAATGTAAGGCCCTGCCTATAGGTAAGTAATAGGACACCTGCTAGGTGCACTCAGCTGGTTTCCCCAAATGACCTCAGTGTCTGCATCATCTTGACAGATCCATCACACAAATGCATGCCTGCCCTCCTCAGCAGAGTGTGCTCTGCACCAGACAACACCAGGCAGATTTTCCTCTCACAGGCTTGCCTTCTGGTCCCTTGGGTCTTTAAAATTAGATTTTCAATAAAAAGAAATTTGCCATTGGGATGGGAGGCACAGGATCTCTCTAACCCAGACTGATCTCAAACTCGATCCTCTCGCCTCAGCTTCCAGAGTGCTGGGATTACAGATATATAAGTTTTAGGGTTCTGGGGTGAGTATTAGAGATGGAATGAATTGGGAATGGGTCTACAGGGCAGAGGAGTCTGGGGAAAGAGAGATCAAGAGACAGAGAGGAGAAGAGAAAGCACAGATGAATAGCCAGAAGCCTTATTTTCAGATTACTCTTACCCTAGCCCCTGCCCAGCCAATTCTACCTAAGACATCTATCTATGCAAGATGCACATATTCTAAAATCATAATCTGTCTAGATTTTAAAATATGTTCTTTTTAGTGTAACCCCCGTTCTCCTGATCTCACACTCCTGTAGGTACACCAGTTTAGACTTTTGGAGATAGGCCTGTGCATCCTTTCATAAAAGCATCACAGCATACTCAGATGAGTCAGAACTTGGACCGTCTTTTCTGCTCTTACCACCAGATCCAGCCACATGACAAATCCTTGATCCATTCTATGTTGCCACCCCAGAAACAAAAGCAGGCAGCAAAGGGGAAAGAACCACTCACAATATCCCACAGACCCTGGGATGTTCAAGTCATGCAAAATCTGTATCTTTTCCTACATTGGGACAACTCCCTCAGTGCTCCCAAGTCTCCCAAACAAGCCTCTGCTACTAACCCTAGTCCCATGGGATTCCTCCCAGCACACACCAGTACCCCCAACCCTGGTCACCAACAGGTGAGATGTCTACTCACATTCAGCACATCTTGCCTGGGCTGTGGAGGCTCAATGCATGTCAGGAGCCTGAGCAACAAATCCATGATAGCAGAAGTTCCTATATGCTTTATAATAAGGTCTACAAAATCACGTTTCTTCTTTAAGAAATCCACAATCTAGAGGAGAATAAATCAAAAACTGAAAGACATGAAACTTGGGAACTACAAATTGTAGGATGTTTTAAATTCTGACTACCATCCCCTTCAAAATTCTGCCACTACTTTAAGTTGAGGAAAGGCAAGTGCTGAATTAGTAATTATATGTCAAACTGAAAAATGTGAGTTACAATATTCAAAAACCCCTGAGGAGGGGGGAAAAAAACTTCAAATTAGCACACATCCCCTAATACAAACACAGCATAATAGAATCTTTTCTTTCTATTCATTTTCATTAGTTCTCAAAGAATGGGGATCAAAATTTTAACATATCTATAAAAAGAAAGAAAATTACTGTTTTATAGTTAATAGACATAAAGGAATTCCATTAGACTTAACACTAAAATGCAGAGTACTCAAAATCCTAATTATACTCTGACAAGGAAAAAACTCACAATATAAAAATTTCTACCTCAGTCAAAGTAACTAGCTCACCTGCTACGCAAAGGCAAGCTAGATTTTATGTCAGCAATTCACCTAACACAAGAAGAGTGGCCAGAGGAAGAGGCGGCAGATAACTATGCCAAGGGAGGATGAAACAGTAATGAAAATGAAGACTGCCCTGGGCCACTTCAGCACTGGAAGAAGCAGGTGACTGCTCTGTTCCACACAGCTTCCTTTACCTTCTGATTTCTGCCTGTACACGCCAACCATGTGCCCTGGGAGCAGCATGACCAGTATGGCAGCTGTAGTCACAGAATATCACTAAGCCCTGGAAGGTGGGGACTAAACATCCCAGTGTTCTAAATGAAGTGATCAAGACTCAGACAGGTTAAGTATCTTCTAGAGCTAAAAGGTGGCTACTCCAGGATTTAAACGGAGAGCTGTATGCTGCAAAAGCCAAAGGCTATCCATCAGCCTACATAAAGAATCTAACAGACAGAGATGGACAGAACCAGAACTGCTGCATACAATCAGGTATAAATATAAGACTAACCATCACACACAATGAGGCTAAATATTGTGACACAAACCTCTGAGAAATGGTATAGTTAGTCAATTGACAATTGAGTCACATAGTAGTTTTAGAAAGGAGAGGACAAAAAAAATCTCATGTGACTAAAACACTCCATGATTCAGTGGCAGAAACACTGGACCTGGAGCCTATAGACACAAACCTCAGCCAGTGCTAAGGACAATACAATGAGGACCACAGGCCTGTACCATGGGTAACTCTGCTGAGGGCGAAACCACACAACACTGCCCTACAGCTGGATGCTCTGTTCTACCAGCTAAAAAGTTCTTCATCAGCTAAGCCAATCAAGTCTGAATTTTTGTCATTACCTGCGGCTGCCTATGTCTTATTTGATGTTTTCACACAACAGGAAGCCTTTATCCACATTCATAATTCTCAAAGGATATAGACCTTTGTAGCTAAGCAAGGGCTGCTTACTCCTCTAATTATCATCCAAGCAGTCCTGGATGGAGAAGTACAAGAAGCAAGAGGTTGACAGGGCTCTTTTTTCAGATTCAACTGGCACACAGATAATATGCCTGACTATGAAGTCCAATACAAATACTCAGAGCCCCAACCTTACATATACTCTCACACCATAATATGAACACTGAAAATCTTGACTCATAAGTTTGGGTTCCAATAGCACACAATGAGGAGAAAAAGCAGAATGAAGCATAATGTCTCAGTGATGACTAAAGCCTTCTCAGAGAACTGACTGGCTGCACTGGTGTGATGGGATGGCTTGCACTCTCCCAAAGCAGCCAGAAGTGCTTTTATTTCTAAGCAGAAGGCAAAAACAGGAGACAATCTATGTTATAGTAACCATTATTTGGGAATTATTATATAAGGGAAAAGAATTTTACCTCCAACACACTTAGGAAAATTATCCTACTCAATTATGAGAATGAAAAGAAGGACACTGTCCTAAAATAAAACATGTATCCACTTCACCTTGGCATAGGACAGAACATACTGCCCAAAATAGTTTGAGTCCTTTCGTGTGTGCTGACAGCAAGGACAAGTCACTGGAGACTGTTTTTCACCAGGGAAGACACCAGGTCTGACTTGTTTGATCAATTTCACCCCACGTAATCACACCTGTTTGTTGCAATTCTGAAAGTCTGTCATAGTTTGTATTTGAGCATCTGAAGCACTAGCTGTTCCCTGGGTGCCCAATTCCATAAATAGACTACAATGTAATGTCCACGCCTTCTTCACACTAATACCCACTAGATCAGTGGCTCTCAAATTTTAATATGCATCAAAGTAATCTAGCAGGGTGCTAAAAACCCAGATTTCTGAGCCTCACCCCTATAGTTTCTGATTCTGTATGACTCAAAAACCTGCAATACTAACAAATTCTCAGGTGATACTGATGCTGCTGGTTCAGGGACTACACTTGGAGAAACACTACATATGTGAGATACTTGGGAAATTAACTTCTGAGTATATCTAAGTTAGAACAAAACAAAGCTGGTGGGAGGGAGAAAGGGTCTGGGGATTGCTGCCAGAACAGTTGAGGTATGAACTGCTGTCAAGCACTATTACAGAGCTATTTATATATATCACCATCCATAACCAGGTGTCTCAAGCTAAAACTTTTTTAGGTACATCTTTTGCCTTCAGCTTCACTTGTGATCATTAGGAGGGAAAACAAAGCAAACGGTTTGATACCGAGGGTCACTAGGATTTCACTCTCATATTCAACCAGTTAGTTAGGCGCTCAGGACTACCTTTACACATGGTGTCCAATATTCTCATGCTTCCAACTGCTTATCCAAAGCAGAAAGCACGTATGCTGACAAGCTGAGCTATGACGCACTTAGATGAATATGCCACGGGAGAAATAGTGATGTATAAATCAGCGTTAAGCCACTGAGTGCTCGGAATGTTTTCGACATCTGAAGTTATACTTCCTTACAGAAAACGGACTTAAGGCAAACTCACAACACTACACACGGCATGTTACTGGGAATCATTTTGGTGATAATCGGTCCTAATACTTACCTTTTAGAAAACAATATTTACCTGTTCTGGTTTTCTGCTGATAAGAATACTTAGCACCTTGCTGAAGAAACTGGCAAGTAGTGGGTTCAAGGGGGAATCATTTAGGAGGAAGCTATATAATTTCATTAGCAAGGATTCATCTTCCCCCAGTCTATCATTCATCTGGGAGACATCAGAAGTGAGCAACTCACAAGATATATTGGGATACCTAGAAGAACAGGATAGTATATAATTTACATTAATAGTTTAATTACATAAAGTAAAATAAAAATCAGGAAGGCTTCCTAAAATTTTTAAAAACAATGAAACCATCTATTGGGAAAGAACATTTCAATCCATTCTGTCAACCTCCAGATTAAAATAAATTTTCTACTTTGTCTAAAAAATTATCTTTAAACCAAGTTTTAAGCAGAATACATCTCCTCCCCCCGACCCCCAATAAAACTATAGCACATGTAGGACTCCAGAGCCATGGGATGTATCACACTGCAGGGGTTGGGCCTTCTCAGTTTCCAGTGAGAGCAGAGGCTTGGGGGACGGGAGGGAGAATGACTGTCAGGATACAGCCAAGCAGCTCAGGCCTAGAAACAGCACAGTTCACCAGGGAACTCAGGGGCTGCTGGTTTCCAGGCAGCTGCACTGTACACAGGGCCTAGTAATGACTGAAGGCACATTACAGGTACCTAAGCCAGCTGCTGCTATTTTCAGATGGGTTGCAAATGACACTACAAAGTTGTTTTGATGCCTTACCAAGTGTTCAGTCTACCTTAGATTGTAAAAGAATACATATCCTAATATACTGAAGGGGAGAAGAGGACAAAAGCCTGTTACTCAGGGGAGAAGCTATACACACATAAAACAAACATGCTTTCCACACCAGCCTTCCAAGATTTTCCACTGTCATTCTTCTCTATGATCTCAGTCTTTAGGATATAAGCCCACAGAAGGGTATTTGCTCTGCATGTATGCCCTCTGGCTCTTCTGAGAACTCACAGCTTTAGAAATATCTGTACCTCCTCAACCATGTGCACCTCTGATGGCCAGACCATTCATTCTGGAAAACAGGTGGCAGATCCATCTTTTCCACTCACCCCTTTTACTACAAACTATTTCTCTGTTTTCAACAGTCACAGTGGAGACTCCAAGGCCCATCTACATGACACTTTGTCAGACCTACAGGTCCCTTTTCTGCTCCAACAACATTCCCCCTTGTCAGGCAGCCAGGAACCATAGCTCTAGCTAGTCACCAGAGTGGAAGAGAAAAAATAGCCAGAAGTGGTCATATGACAAGAGGCGAGGACTGTGGGCTAGAATGTGTATGACACACCTGGAAGCCAAGTAGACGGCTGCTTGAGGTGAGACATCTGTCTGGCTCAGAGGCAGCTGGCAGCAAACAGAAAGCCCTGTCACCTAAGAGGCTCTGGGGTAAAGCCAGAGACTGAACAGTATGAGAATGCATCAAAATACACACCTCCTTTGCAGGAAGGAGACTGAAAAAAGAAAACAGACCTGGTAGACGTGTTGGCAAGAGGTTCACATTACCAAAGAGGTAATCTAGAGGGTCTTCTAGATTCTAGAAGGTTCTGTCCTCTAGAGGGTTCTGGCTCAGTCTTCCTCACTTTATGTAAGAATAACCTAAACTTATAGACATGCCAGAACATAAACTTACAGAAAGTAACCATTTTTCCAGGAGCAGGATTATGCAGTAGTTGCAGTTGCAGCTAGAGGAATCACACCACCTGGGTTTGAATCCTACCTCAACTAATTATAAGCTGTATATCATTGAGCAAGTTCCTTAACCTCTCTGTGCCTCAGTTTCCAGGTCTGTAATATTAAAGACATAGTCCTTATCTGGTAGAGGAAGGCAGTATGTACAAAATACTGGGAAGAGACCATGGGCTAAAGTAAGTGCTCAATGAATGGTAGCTACTTGCATTCTCTTTAACTATTACTATCAAACCACAGAAAAGCTACTGAGACACCCCTGCTACTGGGCGGAAGGCATGATACACTGCCTCAACTCTCCCAATGTGAAAACTACTGGCAAATGAAGGATTAATAAAAAGGAAGGGCTGGAGGAGCGACTCAAGTTGTAGAGTGCCTGCCTAGTAAGCACAAGACCGAGTTCAAACCCCAGTACCACCAAAAAAAAACAAAAAAAAAAACCAAAAAAACTGGTGGGGATGTGGGGGTAGCAGACTCAACCCTGGCAGTGAGCCAAATGCACGGGTATACTCAAAGTCCACACATAAGCTCCAAAGCAGGGTATAGGCATTTTTAAAACACGGTTCCCGCTTCTAGGTAACTTGGAGGTATGATCCACTCAAGGTGCTCATATCATGGGGCCTAGGCATTACAAATTCTCTTCTAGACAGGCCAAGACTACTGCGTCATGCTACCTCCTTAACTTTCAGTAAGTTTCTAAAGCACCCAAGGTACCCTCCACTCCAACTGTTGGCAAGACCCTACACCTACACACACACACACTCACTCACTCTCACTCTGACTGTACTTCCTTGTACAGAGGATATGGCAGTCTGAGAAACCAGCCCCACTGCATCCAGATCTGCATCTGGCCCACCCTTCCTCCTGAGGTCACCTTCCACTTATCCTCTGGACCTCATTCCCTCTCACCTGCTCCAGCACAGAGCAGAGTATCACTAGACAGCTTACTCCCTCAGCTGGCATCACTTCCTCTCTATCACACCACCCTTGCCAGAATATAAAGACCAGCACTTCTTCTGTGCAGGAAGACAGAATAAACAAATGAAAACACCCACACCTCTCCTGACTCCACATCAGTCTCTAGCTATCGTGTGCTTGCTCTGCTTCTGTTGCTGGAAAGGAAGGAGTTGTCTCAACTTGTCTTCCTCCATTCCTCGTCAGAGGCACTCCAGCCAGGCTCTCGCCTTGGTCACTCCAAAGGACCTACGCAGATGAGGCCCGTATCTCCACATTATAAACTCAAGGTTTTTTCATGAGCAGCAGCCCCTGACCCTCTCTCTTCCACGAAGCCTGTGTTCTGTGGCTTTCAGGTCGGCAGCCCTTCATGGTTCTCCTCTTGCAGCTGGTCCCCGTGTATGTGGAACCCTGGTCCACAAATAACTTCCATCTTCAGCCTCATCTCCACAAGTGATCCTTTCCTCTATCAGCCTCAGCTCCACAAGTGATCTCAGCTAGCCTCCCTACATCACGAGGCCCCCATCCACCTGTTGCCACTCTTGTCCCCACTTCATGCCACCAGGCATTTCAAACCTGACAAGGCTGAAGCCAAATGCCTGACCTTTCCCTGATGTCTATCCTCAGTGCCATAAAGCCACTTTACCCCTTGACAGCCTCAGCTAAAACCCTCAGTCTTCCGTCTCCCACTCCACATCTAGGAGGAGACCCTTCAGTTCTAACTTCATCTGGAATACATCTGGAATCTGACCATTCTTTCCAGTTAGGCCACTGAGGTCTCTGTCGATCACTGCAGCCTCCTAACTGATTTCTCCCATTTATTCTTGTCCTCCAGAATCACACCACCCCAGAATGAGTGGTGTGGACCTGGAAACCAAAGTCAGCAACATCATGCACTGCTCAAAACTCTCAGATGGCTTTCCCTCTCATCCCATGTAAGGCAAAGGTCCTGACTAAGCCCATCAGACCCCACATGTCCTGTCTCTAGGGCCCACTTAGACCCTATCCCTGGCCTTCTCTTCTCTGATGCGCCTTCATTCATGTGCTGTCCCCTCTCTGGCTGCCCTGTTAGTCTTGGGGTACATCAAACACTTCTGGACTTGCTGTTCTCTCTGCTTAGATGTTCCCTGCCAAGCATGGTAACCCCCACACTTCCTGTATGGTTTTGACCAAAAGCACCTTCTTAATGAGGCTTTCTCCTGAACTCTCTCCTCCCACCCACCACCTTCCTCAATCTGTCTTGTCCTGCTTTATTTTGATCCAGAGGACTTTTCTGACAAACTGCCAGTTTACTTTTCAGTCTCAGTCACCAGATACAGCTCAAATTATAAAATGTTAAACTTCCTTAGATGACTACAGTTCACCTTAATCCTGAAAAGATTTCAGATCCATTTGAAAAAGCACTCTATGCGAATTTGAGTGTTTGGGTCACCCAAAGTACATTTTACACTGCTGGTGGCTCTGCTCATGCCAGATGCGTAGCTAAGTACCTCTCTCTCCTAAACAAGCCATGTTTCTTCCAAATGATACTATGGATCCAGGAAGGTATGCTGCTCCCATACCCTCAACAGCAGTACTAACGACCAGCACTATCACTGCCAAGCTTTCAGATTCCATTATGTGTTATACCCTGTGAGGGCAAAGGGGATGCAATTTCCTTTCATTTAAACAACTGTTAACTCCATTCAGCATGTTAGAGAGCCAAGAAGGAAAGCCACTTGTCCAAGTTCTCAGAACTTGTACAGAGTGATTACAGGTCTGCGCTCTTGGAAACACAAAGAGATAAGCCCCAGGTCAGATAGCACCCACCCACCCACATGCTAATTCACTGTGGAGGGAATTCCAGAGTAGCAGTGTCTAATCTTCTGGAGGACTGGGACACACTAGAACTTCCACTGTCATACTTTTCTTCTTTTACAAAGCTTTGACCTCTGCGTAGAGGCTTTCGTTGAAAGGTATCACTCTTGATGGCTGGCAGAGAAGGTGACATCCTTGAACTCTGGAGCCTCCAAACTTGAAGGCATTAACAAGAATTACTTCTCTGACATCATGATTCTCCCCAAGAAGAAAATAGCAGATTCCTGAAGAGGGTCCAACTAGGGAGGAAGGGCAAAGAAGACACTACTAAAAGGTCTTCCTTCTTCCTATTAACTTTATTTAGTGCATGAACACATTTTTGCTTCTGGAGGACTCTATTTTTGGGGGGGGGGGCGTTATTTTAATAGAGTTGCACGAGAGATAATGAAAAGCCCAGTTTTAACACACCTATGGAGTATTCACAAAAGTTTCCAAGAATATGTATAAAAGTGCTGTAAGTGATGGTAATAAGGGATTCTCACTGAACTATTCTGTTTTGCTTGTAAGCAGATTAAACTAATAAGTAGATAAATCCACTGTAGCTATCTGTGGTGTTTCCTGTGTGAATAGCTTCACTAATGTTCACCAAGACCCATGCCCTAATTTTCAGGCAACAGAAGGTCAGATTTATTTTATCAATAGTGCTCTTCACAACTCAAGCTTCAACTCAGACCTGTTAGGCCATCTAGGGCAGTCACATAATTGCTGGCTTCCTATCTGCAAAGTAGGAGAGCTACTTACTTGAATTGCCTTACTATTTTAAGAAACTGCTCATCACTTTACAAAGCACTTTGCTCTTCCATGAAACCTCTGGCTGAAATTCAAAACACTCACTTTCAGACTCCTGTGATTCACTGGACTTGGTTCTAGATCTAGAGTAGACTATGTGCTCTACTGAGCCTGTCACTTGACCATCATAACCTTCTGTCAATGACTAAGTGACTCTAGGGGATTCTTGAACATCAAGAGCTATTATCTTCTATCCCCACTTCACTTTTGCCCCACCCTAAAGAAAAGATTGAATTTTCTTACTTGTATCTGATCTTTTCATCCATGTCTTGAGGTGGTTCTTCTATAATGAATGAGACTAAATCTTCGAGGCATTCTGCTTTTAACAGAAACTCTATAAGTTTGCGGTTCTGGGCTTTACATTCCTGTAAAACATCTTCCTCATCCATTAACTCCTTCAGTGTTACATCTTCTCTTTCTAGAAGTGTGTCTATGTGGGATGATGAGTGAAGATCAAATTTCCAAAACATGCTGGTCTAAACAAAACGCAGAGAGTATTTTATAAAATTTCAATTTTACATAATTCAAATTTCAGTTCAGTTTTACAGTCTAAAATGTCAACTTGGCTCACATATAAGTAAAATAATTCTCACTCTGAACCTATAAAATACTTTTTAAATGAGTAATATTGGCAGATTTTTTTTTTTCTTTCTCAGAAAATATTTATCTGTTCAAAAAACGTTGGCTTGAAGCCAGGTGCCGGAGGCTCATACCTATCAGCTTAGCTACTTGAGAGGCTGAAATCAGAAGAATCACAGTTTGAGGTTAGCCCGGGCAGGGAGTTTGTGAGACCCTATCTCAACAAATAGCTGTGCTTGATGGTATGCACCTGTCATCCCAAGCTACACAGGAGGCTGAGATCAGGAAGACTGTGGTTCCAGTCCAGTCTGGGCAAAAAAGTTTGCTAGACCCCATCTCAACAGAAAAAAGCTGGGTGTGGCAGCATGTCATCCCAGCAATGACAGGAAGCATAAAATGGGAGGACTGTGGTCCAACAAGTCTCAGTAAAAAGCGAGACCCTATCTCCAAAATAACCAGAGCAAAAAGTGTTAGAGGTGTGGCTCAAGTCATAGAGCAGCTGCCTTACAAGCATGAAGCCCCGAATTAAAACCCCAGAAGCATATCCAAAAAATGCTGGCTTAAAAATACTCAAAGCTAAAATTTGGGTTGATTTTAACCTGCAAAAGTAATTAATCTATACTTTGCTAAGAATTTAATGCAGGAAAAGGCAAGTAACTCTCTCCTAAAAGGTGAAAAACACATTCTTTACAGAACTCCATCTTCAGCAACAAATGACAACTAATGAGGCATAACTAGAACTCTTTATTATACTAAGGAAGTAAATAACCACTAAAAACTAGCACTATCAGCTCTTTCATACCCCAAAAGCCTGAGAAGTCATAAAATGGTAAGACTTGTGCCACTTTTTATAAAGATATTTAAACACTGGAATGTAACTGCTGAAGAATTAGAGACTGATTTTAAGTCACTTCATTTGACAATCAAACTTAAAGCAATCACTCCACAATGAGACATGCATTCTCCCCTCAAGTTTATCTCCACCACTCCCTCTTTGAACAATGAAAACACAATTTGCTTTCTTCAAGTTACAGAACTAAAGAAGGTACTTATTGTAAAAAGAAGCATGAACAGTGGGCCAACTATATAATCTACAGGCTGCCATGAGGGCTAGCAGAGTAGCTCAAGTGGCAGAGTGCTTATCTAGCAAGCATGAGGCCCTGAGTTCAAACCCCAGTGTCACCTAAAACAAAGGCTGCCAGGATGAGACCATCTCAAAAGCCACTTCTGCCCAACAAATGACAAAATGACAGCATCAAGCTCAAGTCCTTAGTAGGAACAGGACCAATCAAAAGTCACTGCTAGCTACCAAAGGCGCTTACTGCTGAATTCCTGAGCCAGGGTGGGGTAAGACATACTGATGTCATGAAACCCCAAATCAAAACCTCTGCATCGAGAAACTAAAGCAGATACCTTAAAGCAACTGAGGCCAATAGGAGAAGGGGACCAGGAACTAGAGAAAAGGTGAGATCAAAAAGAATTAACCTAGAAGGTAACACCCACGCACAGGAAATCAATGTGAGTCAATGCCCTGTATAGCTATCCTTATCTCAACCAGCAAAAACCCTTGTTCCTTCCTATTGTTGCTTATACTCTCTCTACAACAAAATTAGAGATAAGGGCAAAATAGTTTCTGCTGGTTATTGAGGGGGTGGGGGGAGAGGGAGGGGGCGGAGTGGGTGGTAAGGGAGGGGGTGGGGGCAGGGGGGAGAAATGAACCAAGCCTTGTATGCACATATGAATAATAAAAGAAAAATGAAAGAAAAAAAAAAAAAAACAAAACCTCTGCATCAGTTGGAGTGTCACTACTCACCTAGTCAAGTGCTCCTGTCATTATTAACAACATTACTTAAAAGAGTCCTAGATAAAAGGAAGGAAGGTCATAACCTACGTAACACAGTTTTACAACTAGGTATTTTGTTAAGTCTACACAATTAGGAGATTAGGTAAGAATATACCCTGGTCTGATACACTCATAAACATCTACCTCAAAGTAATTTTTTTGGGTTTTTTTTTTTTTTTTTTTGGTTGCACTGGGGTTTGAACTCAGGGTCTCGCACTTGCTAGGCGGCGCTTTACCACTGGAGCCACTCCACCAGCCAAAGTAATTTTTTAAAAACAGAGACCATGGAGGGCAAAATTTATCTACACTAGTCACACTGATCAATCCATGAGTTAAAAAAAGAAAAGTGCATCAAGGCAGGTTCCAAGAATGTATAAAGGTATATCCACTTTGTGTGATAGGGTGTTGAACACTGGACTTTACTGTTAGGTATATGATCATAGCATTTAAAATATGAGTCTTAAGGAAGTTCAAAGAAGATCCTTAGAGATTAAGTTTTAGATAGTAATATCATGAAATATGAAGAATGTTATACAAGTCAGATCTACTTAAGAAAATCTTTACTCTCCAGGAAACACAGAAAAATGCTCAAGATCATAGGCAGCAACAAGCCTAAGACTTGCTTAGGGCAAAAAGCAGCTGTGTGGTTCACCCAATCCAGACTCACAACCTAGTTCAAGCGGAATCCACGCAGCTGAAATAAGCTCCATGGGAAGACACAAGGCAGTGACCCACAGTGTGAGGTGTCGCTCTTTCCTCTTTGTGATTAGGCTGATAATTGTGTGTAGATGACATCACAGAATACGCTACACAAACACAACTTCCAGTAAAGGCAGCAGTGGCCACACTAGCAGGTGACCTCTCTGCCCAAGATGAGAAGAAGCACCTTGCAGGGCCACCTGGTGGACAATGAAAGGCATTTGCTAGTGAAGTGAACAGCAACTGAACTCTAGCACAATTACTGACCTAATGCTTTCTAGGAAATCAGGTCAAACATGACCCACAGGCAAGAGGAAAAGAACTCTGAAGAAAAGGCCAGCGCAGATAAACCTCAGACATACGTGGGATTTCTGGTTTTCAGATTTGTGAGAAATGGCAAATAAAAAATGTATCATGCCATTGTATTTCAATAAAATTGAGACGCAGAAAAAAAGACAAAAGGATACAAAAGATATCTCCACTGGAGGGAAGGGGGACAGCTGGATTTCACTCTTATGAAGAGGAAGGAGAGAAGTCCTCCACTGTTTGGTGGCACAATGTAGCACTGACATTGTCTTCCATAATACTTCTGCTGGAATAGCACAACTGCTCATTAATCTACAAATTTTTAAAAATAACTCTTAAGAAAGTGTATTTTTACCACTCCTCCCCACATGTAACATTAGAGCCTATGATGACTAAACAGCCACGTTTGGCACAGTGCACCAGAGCATAAGCCTGCATGTTACTGGTTTGTTCACAGACTCCAAACATTAGCCTTTAAAGATATAGGCAAGAACTATGGCTCAGATTAGCTACAATAGCAAAATCACCCTGAAGAATCTCCTCCTCAGTCACCTTGATTTCAAAGCTGATCATGGAAACTTTGATCCTAGAATATCTGCAGATTGGTTCAGCTTTTTAAAATACTTCAGCAAAGTTAACATTCTAAAAAGATAACTATGTATATTAAAACACCTTCCCACAAACCCCTCGTCCCCCAGTGTTATTAGGTCAGCATATAACTTAGTCTGAAAGTTATTAGTTCTGATAATTTAATATTCTCTCTATAAGAAATAAGAAAACTACATACACTTAACAATTTAGCCTAATGCCTTTAAAATATTGGGTCTCATTAAGTGAGCAGGCCTTTATTTTCTGTAATCCCAAACATAAAAGCAAAATATAATGAAAAATACTAATAAATAAATCACAAAAAGATGTCTGGCCAGGTGTGGGGAACCTATAATCCCAAGGTTCAGGAGGCTGAGGCCAGCCTGGGCTGCATTACAAGACGCTATCTCACAAAAACAAAACCCCAAGCAACTCTGATAAAGTACTTACCATTAGCTATAAATGCCTACAATCTAGAGTCATGCCGCTGAATTATGAATCAAGACACAACTTACCTACTTCAAGGAAAAACTGCCTAAATATTAACATTATAAATATGGGATTTAGCTGGTGGAGTGGCTCAAGTGGTAGAGCACCTGCCTAGCAACTGTGAGACCCTGAGTTCAAACCTCAGTACCCCCTAAATAAATGAATAGTTAAATAAGTAAATTAGGGATTTATAAAAGACTGACAATTAGTCATAATGAAAAACTGCAAGAGTTGTCAAACAGACCCAATCCAGTCTATAGCCTGACAGTCAAGAATGGTTGTGGTATTTTTAAAGGACTGTTTTAGAGTGGAGGGGAGATTATATGATAGGGACCACCTGTGGCCAGCAAAGCATAAAATATTTATTATCTGGTCCTTTCCTTTTGTGTCCCTTGCTCCAGAGAAAATGAAGTTCCCACTAGTACTTGCTATCTACCATCTCCTGAATCTACTCAGGCATGTATTGGGATAGACTCGCAGCCCTCCTCCGGCCCTGGTGCAGCTGCACAGCTAGCTCTCTCTTTTCCCCTCCTGGGCATTTGCCTAGGCATGGTTTCCTACTGCTCTGGCACGTAGATAGGCCAGGCAAGAGAGTTTTCTCCAACGTGCCATAAACCATAAAACTTCCATGCTCTTTCCCTTACATTTAGTTGGTTGCTGATGACCAAAAAGGGCCTAAAGGATGGTAAAAATGGCAAGTGGAGAGGGGACCTGGTCCCCAAACTGCCACCTAGAAGAAAGCTGTTGCCTGGCAATTTGAACATCTGTTCAGGCCACTACAATATGTGAGAAACAATCTGCATGGCGACAAAGTCAGCATCCACTGAGGCTGTGTATCCAGCAGTGCAGCCATCCATGATGACTCAGTCCCTCCAACACCACAAGCCATAACTGTGGTTTTTACCATACTTATTTAAAACACAAGCTCATTTGTTTTATTTTATGTATGTACATATGTGTACATGTGTGTGTGTGTGTGTGTGTGTGTGTGTGTATACTTTTAGTGGTTCTGGGGGTTTGAACTCAGGGCTTCGTGCTTGCGAGGCAGTCACTCTAACACTTGAGCCAAGCCTCCAGCCTTTTGTGCTTAGGTTATTTGAAATAGAGTCTCACTTTTTGCTCAGGCCCACCTGGACCACCATCCTATTTTATGTTTCCTGCCATCACTGGGATGACAGGTGAGTGCCACCACATCTAGTTTTTTCTTTTGAGATGGGATCTGGCAAACTTTTTTGCCTGGGTTGGCCTGCAGCCACAATCCTCCTGATCTCAGCCTCCTGTGTAGTATGGAACGACAGGCGTGTACCACTGCACCCAGCTATTGATTGAGATGGGGTCTGGCAAACATTTGCCCAGGGTGGCCTCAAGCTGCAATCTTCCCTATCTCGGCCTTCCAAGTAACACAAGATATTTTAACCAGAGATTTACACAGGAGAAAAGGACTTTGTCAACAGCTATCTATTTTTATATGACTTTAATTACTTCTCTTCTCCACTATTGAGTCAGAATAGCATTTTTCAAAACAGAACATTCCTCTGAAATATACATTTCCACAGTGAATTTCCTTTATACTGGGCATGCCACAAACTCAAAATCAAGATATAACCACAGAAGATCCATTAAGCAGACATATTTTAGTTGGTAGACAAGCAGCAAGCGGACTGAAAACAAAGGGCACTAGTAAATTAATTACCTCTGGCTTGGCCCTTGTTTCTATTTGTGCCTTTTCAGGTAGAAAAAAGCCAGACATAAAATACTAATTACAAAGTTCAACTGCCTGCCCTAAGGTAAAATGGAGTCCTTTAAACAAATATAATTATTCCCATTCACAGGAAAACTGGAGTCAGAACTAACAACTCATTTTTAGTAAACATAAGTGTACTTTAAAATTCATACCCTACATTATAGTTAAACAGCATTTAGGGATAAGCAGGAACAATTTCTTATAGGAAACCAATCAAGACAATGAGTTTGATGAAATAAACCCACCCTCCATCTTTCTTCAAAATCTTAGACTTGTTTCATAAACTGGATTAAGAAATTTGAAAATGGGATTTTCTCCAAAAAACTGTTTTCTAACTAGAAATCAAATGAACAGATCACTGGGGAGCCAACTGTTACCTAAAGCCACAGAGGACAACCTCTGCTGTTCTCAACCCTTCTGCAAATTACAACAAGCAAAAACTGCCATCTTACCTATATAAAACAGGACCAAAGGGCCCATCTGTTGAGTGAATCTATTTATCTCAGCTCAAAGCTTTAAAAGATTCGCTGAAATTATTAAATTACTCTCATGATACCACAGCCTTCTTAGAATGAAATCTGAGGTGTGGTCCCTTTACTTCAAAGCATTCAAGCAGTGACAGTGTATCTGGGAGAAAGGGTGTTCCCTCGACTCTGACACAGGGACTGGACAGAGATGTGGGGAGAATTACTGCAAGAGTGATGACAAGACATCAGTCCACATGTGGAATCTGCCAGGGTACTCTCTGTTATAGCACATGTAACAGAGGACCAGTGGTGGTTGATGGAAACCACCTACACCCACTTGCTTTCATCAACTACACAACCTCCCCCTGAACTTTTTTAGTACTACTAAGCATCCAAATGGACCTAGATTCCCCTGCCAGCTCAGTCATTGCACACCTTGATGTCCTGGTAAAGATCACTTCACCCCATAAGCCTCAGTGTCCTCATCAAATTAACTGGTTATACTCATTCAATGAGCACCTGGAACCTAGAGGCAGGCACCTGGCGAACAGTAGCTACTGGGCAGGAAACATGCCCGACAATGCAATCAAGGAGCTTTATAGTATCTAGGGGTCTTACTGAAATGCAGTCTTCACTGATTCAGTAAATCAGGGCTCTGGTCTGAGATTCTGCATCTCTAACAAGTTCCCAGATGCTTCTGATGCCACAAGTTTAAAACACTACTAAATCAGTTTTAATTCACCAAGGAACAACTGAGGATTAGCTTAGCCCATGTTTTCACAAACTGCAATACATATATTCAAGTGATTATATAACAATGAAAATCTCATTAATGCAGGCATGTGACTGTGTTATTTACTTTAGTTACTCCCTTCGGACAAGCTGGTATGAGCGGGTTTCCTTCCAAAAAGACACAGGCACAACATACTATGTTACTCTCCAATAGGAGCCGAGAAAACAAACCATAAACATGCCAAAAGATACACTATTAGAGCCTTTGTTTATCAGAAAAGAGAAACTACTCATTATCCTACCTATAAATGAGCTGTAAACTGTGGGAATAATAAAGAATTTTAATGAAATTTCAAAATTAGCATCTTGCCATCATCTGAACTTACTCATGTACATTCTTAAAATACAACTTGGACAGACACTCTTCGACTCAAGATCCAAATGGGGAAGTGAGTTCGAGAAGGGTTTAGTGATTAGAACTGGCATGCTGAATGCGACACACCGCTAAGAAGTGATAGGGAGGAAAGTATCTATAAATAAGAGAGTGCAAAGTCTCTCTGTGATGAGTAGCCACCTCTCAGTGTTGTAGGTTAACCTTAAACTCTTCCTTCCCCCAAACAACAAAGTTCAATGACCAGGGAAATGTCATAATTTCCACAAGAAGCAGAAACATGGAACACAAAAATAAAAACAGCCTTAGAAAGCACTTTTCACTACATAGGAAGGAAAAACATCACAAAACAAAACAACTTTAGAACGTTCATGCTTAGTAAAAACTCTAAAGTTCATGAAGGCACCCAAACACTCACACTGATGCCCTTTCATTTAATAAGTCAGACAAGAGAGACTCTACCATATACAGCGTCTGCCTGTGTCTCCCTCTCTCACCCCTTTCTTTCTTTGTTAGTGTCTCCTTATAATTTACAGGCTGGAATTACAGGCAAATGCCAGCAATATAATGTATTTCTTTAGAGAAATGGGAAAACAAACTCAGAGCCAGTTTCACTTTATTGGCTCTCTCTACTGCTTCTTCTAAAAAAGGTGTCAAAAGCAATCAACTTTTTATCACCCAGGTATCCCAGAATCTTTTCCTGTTTTAACTTGGAAAACAAGTTAAACTCTTGATATCCCATCTTTTTTTTTTCTTTTTTGAGAGTAGTAAATAAAGGAACCAAGTCCATTTAATATGTGGTATGCTAAACAGGAGATACTTTAAGCATTAATATGCACTGTGGGGGGGGGGTGAAAATGATTTAAGTACTTAATACACATGTATGAAAGAAAATAGAACAAAATCTGTTAAAAATTGTTTTAAAAGGAGAGAGGGATAAGAAAGAGTACTACAAGGGGAATTTGATCATGATCAAAATACATGATATACATGTATGGAAATATCACAATGAAACCCCTTTGTGCAATTAATACACATTAATGAGAGAGAAACAGACAGAAGGAGGAGGGGGAGGAGACACAGAGACATTACAGGAGTAATAAAATGGTCAGTACTGCCTTGAAGAACACAATAAAACGGAGAACAGAGCAAATACAAAGGAAGCACAAACTCCAAGGCTGTTACATAGCAAGGAAGTTCCATGGAAGAAAAGCAACAGAAGACTTCATTATAAATGACACTTAAGCCAAGCAGCAAAAGATACAGGAGCTGGGCATGGTGACATACCTGGAAGCCAAACTGTTTGGAGGCTGAGGCAGGAGGATTTCAAGTTCAAGGCCCACTCTGGGCTACCTAGTGAAATCCTATCTCAAGGGGGGGAAAAGAGAAAGGATTTAGTAGGTAATAGAGCAGCATGAAGCACAGATAATCAGAAGACCCAGTAGCTTCAAGAAATTCACAGCAGGGAGAAGGCCATGGTGACCTTCCCTTTGGGAAGGTAGCAGCAGTAAGATGGCAACACAAGGCCAGGTCTCATGGGCTGTGCATGAATGTCCAGCACAGTGCATGCCTGTTGCAGAAGAAAAGACAGAGCCAATGAGTTTCAATTGAGGGAAATGTACACCACCTATGGTAGAGATTAAACAAAGTATTTTCATGGCAGACAGAAAAAATTAATTCTAAATAGTAGACAGCAGATTTGACAGAAGAAATGACACTGATGCTGTGGCAAGCACACACTCAACAGTGTTTATATTTCTTGGCACAAAAGCAATGTGGGGCAGGAAGGGAATGAGCCTGACACAAAAGAGGGTAAGCTCTTACAAGGGCCTCTACTTTGAAAATCAGGTGTCCCCTAAGAGATTTCACCCTAATTATCATGCTTCTTCAGGTGTTAACCACAATTCTGCCACCTTGAAGTCTAGTTTTCACTTTTCTTCATTCCTGAACTGTGCATCTGGTATCAGATGACAAAAATTCATGGCTTGCCCTTGGAATTCTCAGCTGCTTGGAAAATACACAATGCTCAGACAGCAAATGCCCATGCAAACCCTGGCCAAAGCCCATCAGTAAGATGCTAAGAGTGAGGCAAGCGGTACTGTCTACTTTACTTTCATAGTTAAAAAGCCAAAGTTGGGTGTGTTGCCATACACATGCAGTAGCAGCTACTAATGGAGGCTGACGATCACTTCAGTCCAGGGGTTCAGGGGTTCAGGGAGCGTGGAGAGAGGGAGGAAGGAAGTCACCTCACAACCAAAAAAAATCCAGACTTATTGTGTCAGCTAATTCAGATTAAATCAAGTACAGTGATATGTTTCTCTACAAATTCTCCTTTGTGAAAACCTGAATGTCAGTTAGCATTACTCCCACTGAGATTTGTTCTAAGAATGTATCATTAGCCAATTTTGTTACTGCATGAACATCATGGAGTATGCTTACACAAACTAAGATGGCTATGGTGTCACTTAGGCCATAATAGTGGGACTACTTTCACATATACATATCTGTTATTGGTGAAAACATCACTATGCAGTCCATGACTGTCCATAAACTTCTGTTCTCATTTTCTATTGTTTCAAAAACCTCAAGTATATGCAAATCATGAGTTATTGCTATTAAGAACAAGGATTTTTTTTTTAAAGCGAGACTGAGAAGTTAGAAGGAAAAGGGCAAGTAATAAAGATGACAAAACTTGGTAGTCAAATTTTGCCAGGATATCAAATTTTGCCAGGAGACTTACCAAAGATCAAAGGAACAAAATTGGTGTGGTCAGTAAGGGTGACCCAAACAATGTATACACATGGGGTAAACATAAAAACAATTAAAAGGAAGGAAAATTCAGATGGGTCAAGGTGTCTGTGTGTCCAGTGTGTGCACATGCAACAGAGTGTATGAATATGAGCAGCAGAGCATGATAAAACTCAGGAGTCAAATCAGTAAATTCTCATGGGCCCTAGAGATAGCGAATGTGCCATGTAAAAAGCATCCAGTATTTGCCAGATCTCTGAAATACCAGGTAAGGTCTTGAGAGTCCATAAATGAGTCAGGCATCAGAAACAAAGTGACATGTAACTGCAAAACAAGAGGAATCATGGTTATATTAACATGGCTATTATTTGCAACAACACAAAAAAGTTTATGTCTCTGCAACTTCAGGGAGGAAGGGTGGTCCTGAACAAATAAGGAAAGGTACAAAAACTGCCCAGTTAAAATAGGAATTCTGTACTAATATGGAATGGGAGGAAGACTTGGAAAATCTAACTCAGCACTAAGTTTTCACCAAGTAAAACCAGGTTATATGCAATTTGTGAATCACCCAACTTGAAGCAAGTTATTCACATACCTGTTATTAGTCACACACCTGTTACAGACAAGTTGCCTAAAGAGTATAGTCTTTTGTAATCAAACAGAAAATCTAGAACATATTATGTTTTTGAAAAACAGCCAGGAGCTGTCTTCAGATTAAGAATGAGGTAACAAAGGTCTGGGGTATAGCTCAGGGACACAGCGCTTGCCTAGAATGTGTGAGATCGTGAGTTCCATCTCTAGCACCATGGGGAAAAACGGATTATGCAACCTTCCAAAGGCTCAGCGGGCTGAGCCCAACCAATCTTTCACTGGAAACTATAGTACAGTAATAAAGGACAAACTAAAAAAGAAATGACAGGTAACAAAATTTGTGAAAAGGCAGAAAACGGAAAAACCCTAATATTCAAATAGAAGAACTTTTACAAGAGCATACATACACATAAACGTGTGTGTGTACACATATGTATTTTGGAGATAGCTGGCCTCAAACTCATAATCCTCCTTCCTGCCTCAGCCTCCAGAGTACTAGGATTTCAGGTGTGCACAACCACACCCAGCTCAGAAGAACATTATAATCTACTACCTCCCTCATGGCCAACATAAAAAAGTAAAAGGAAAGGTTTTGAGAGTGTAACAAATGTGGCTTCCCTTAGCACCAGCACAGGGCATCACAGTGAGTGGCCAGAGACCCTCGTAGGCACAGGTGAAATGCCATGGCAGCAAAGATGAAGTATCTAAACCTGTCTAGTAAGGGATTTAAAACAAAACAAACCACCATTTACAGAAGGTGAGGAAATGAGAAAGGCACCAGCTTCCACTAACAGCAGTCACAGAAAAGAACATTTTCAGAAAGGGAAGTAATAAGATTTATTCAAACTTTCTTAGGAAGCTGCTGAGAATGTGCTTCGCCAAAACAAGGCAAAAACCAAAACCAAAAACAATCCCTCTACACACACATCAAAACAAGTATGTAAGGTACCCAGAAGGAAGACAAATCTAGAAGATGAGAGGAAATGTAGCAGCTACAGAGAGGTCAAGAGCAACCAATCTAGAACAAGGCAAAAAGACAGGGGGTTCTAGAAAGAACGTATCTAAGGAGATGGAGCTACAGATTGCTGGATGTATCTAACTGTACTGAAAAGAATTTTTCACATAAATCAAGAGATTTAAGGAGAAATTAAAAGTACACACCCCTTTAATAAATACAGATTTTATGCAAAAGCTGTGCTTTAAGTACGTTAGAAGGCAGGAGAAAAGGAGCTATGCATGTAAGAGCTGAAGTGGAATAGAGAAAGGCAAGTTATTTAGAAATGTGGAAGTAAATAAGAGGTGAAGGCAGCAGTTCCAAGTCAGCCAGGCAAGCAGGGGAATTTGGGAGGTAAGATTTTATTTTTTGTTATATACCTGTGATACAGTTTGACTTCTTAGTTTCTCTGTAAGACATCTTCATGAAGTAAGTACAGGCACAGTATTTTCAAAGAAGTTGAGAAAAGACAACCTAAAGCAGAATCTGCTATGGCATACCACAAACTCAATGTGGTAAAAGCTGTGATAAAATTATGTGTGAGAGCTAAAGAAGGTTCAAATTTTAAAGTTGATAAAAAATATAGGGTGTTTAAAGCTTATTCTATTGTTCACCAGCAGGCACTTGGGAGACTTTTTAATCCACTGTGCTACTCAAGCAGGAGTGCCGACAGTGAAGCTCCCTTGCTCATCCGGTTAGCTACCATTAGCTCTTGACAAGTTCTCTCACACAGCTTATCAGTGGTTAAGGTCTGACTGCAATTTTTTGAGTTCAGAGCCAATTCTGAAATAACAGCCCTCAAGCACAGTTACTAAGCACTGGCTGGCTATGGAAATTCACCTTTGCTGACGTCATGGTGCTTATGTTTCTTACTGAATTCAGCCTAACATTACAAAGTAAGACAGTGTGGACACGGGAACCTTATACTACAGTGATGTCATTTCAACAACTACCTTTGTTTGGATCACGAGGGCTAACCTGCTCCATCTACTTCCCATGCTGTCAGAAGTCTAAGTAAAATGTGAGACTCTCCACTCCCACACAAATCTGCACATGTATTTTCTGAGCTCAAAGTACAGCTAAATAGCATTTTTAGACCCTGACACAAGAGCAAAAGACATTTTCATTTTGAAATCTATTCAGGTGTTCAGCTGAAGACCTCTCACCAAGCCTCCAATTCAAAGTGATTAATTTACAATGTAATGATGTGCTCAAAAGCAAATATTGGGGGAATGGGTTAGAGCAGTGGGAAAGTCAAGTTTGGTATGTTTGATACATTGTAAGAACCTTTGCAAATGCTACAATGTACCCATACCCAGCACAACAACAACCGAAAAAAGAACAGAAATAAAAGTAAGTATCAATAGAATTTAATAGAACATAGACTTTCAATGTAATAAATACATACTCAACTGAAGTCAGATACTTAGAAGCCAATAACAGAGGGTGGCAACACCTGCCTGCATAAAAAGATATTTCCAAAGATGAAATGTGTAAACCTCATTACTGATCAGTAACAAGATGATGAAGCTAGGCACTGGTGGTACATACCTGTAATCCTGGCTACTCTGGGGGTAGAGGAAGGAGGGTTCTGAGTTTGAGGCCAACCTGAGCAAACGTAGCAAGATCCTATCTCAAAAACAAAATTAAAAAAAAAAAAGGGATGAGATGTTGATTTGCAATAGCTTTTAATGACAGCAACTCTTAACTCTGATTACCAATAAGGTGAGACATTATCCCCTTAGAAAAAGAGTTCCAGTCTTATTAATAGACAGATATGCATTATAAAAAGTTGAACTCAATTCAACTGTAACTTTTTCTTTTTTGCTATATAAACACCTTCAAAATATTCTTTTTTGCCTAAATTATTTGCTATCTGGCCCTCTGCAATGTAAGTTTAGTCTATTCCATTCTAGAATTTCTTCTCAACAGTCTGGCACTGATTTAAGACTCCTGGAAATATCTGGATAACCTTTCTTAGGAGTCCCCTCGTTCTAATATGGGACAGCATGCTGATGAGGAGCTGAGGTAAATAAAAAGTAAAAAGGAAAAACAGCTAAAGGTAAGGAATTGTTCTCTAAGCTGCCAAAGCTAAGAGACTCTGTCAGCAAAGAAAAACAAAACAAAACAGGAGGGAAGACAAGGAGAAAGTCTCAAAAATATTACCCTGAGAAATGCCTCTGAAATTTTAGATCCTATCACCAAGCTATTAGTGACTCTCATTATTTGAAAAGTATTACTAACACAGTGTAGAATTCAAAACTCCTGGATCACAAAATGTTTGAAATCTAGTTGAAGAGAAAAAAACAATCCTGGAATACTTGAATGAGTACTCCTAAAAGTATCACAAAGGTGCTGGGACAACCAGAAAGATTTGACAAAAATGTAGAAAGAAAGTTGAGACTGGAGGACGAACAGTAAGAAAACTAGAAGGCAAGAGGCGAATGTGTAGTGCAGAACTTCTCTGTATAAGATTCGTGCAACAGAGTAACATGGGGAAGGCGCGTACGAGAGCCTGAGCATGAGGTCAAAGAATCAGAGTCACTGTGGAAGTGCCAGCAGAGCTTCTGAAGGTTTCGCTGACGCATTCTTGAAGGGCTAGGGAGGTCACACACAAAGTATTCTAGATTTCTAGGAAAGATCCCTTGGGGATTAGAAACAGACTCTGTCTTCACAGCATGAAGGAGGAAAGGAAAAGAATTAATGTGAGAGTACATCCCACAGGCCTTGGTATGTAACTGATGGAGCACAGGAATAAACGGAAACACAGTTTTAAAGAGTGACTAAAATGTCAAGTCTAGCTAAGCAACAGTTCAGACAGGTAGATGATCTAATGGTTTGCCTACTCTCACTGAGATACAACAATCCAAATTAAACTGGATTAAGTATGCTTGCACGATACTCTCCCCCAAACGGCTCTACTATATGACTTCCTATTAGGTGCCAATGGGGCCAAAAGTCAAATATGCAAAGTCAATCTATGATCTTTAGTAAAAAGAGTTCCAAATTGACAGCAATTAGGACTTAAAAGGAATCAGGTGGCTGGCTAGAAGCCAACTGGTATGAAATAAACATCTCACACACACACACACACACACACACAACTCCCCCCCCGCCCGACAGATGACTTAAAAGCAGTGATCTAGGATGCAGGTCTCTACTCTTTCTCTGCATGCTAGGCCAAACTAGTTCTTAGTGTCCAACTCAATCCCTCTAGTATATATTAAATATACTAAAGCACATCACAGCAGCTACTGTTTAACTTCCTAAAAACACAGTACCATATTACACCCAGCTTAGAGACCACCCTGGTTCCCCTGGACTCTAGCGTCTCACAAGAAAACACTGCTTTACCTCACATGTAACTTACAGAAGGAAACTCCTGATGATTTTAACAGTCTTACCTTTCAAACCAAGGTTAAAAATTAAAAGAAACGTCTCTGTGGCTCCTTGCCCATTACAGGTTATCCTGGTGACAGTTTTCTTCCAAGTTACCACATTAGCAGATTAGCAGGAATAAAGTAGGATATTGTATGAAACAGAAGCACTCCTATTTAAAAAAAAAAAAAAAAAAAAAGAGCAGAAAATCACTTATGTTCTTTTTTGTTCTGAAGATAGCTGTCATTAAAAGACACTGGTTCAGGATTTTGAACTACACCTCAGTGAATTAAAAATTCTAGATAACTGAAAATTTCCATGTGGACACAGAAATAAAACACCATGGTTCCTCTACCCAGACTTTTATCTTACACTAAACAATAACCCAGAAAGAAATACAGATGTCATAATAGCACTATCAGTAAGAGACGAAAACTACACATTCTTCTTTTTATTTTATGAAATGGTAAACTCGAGGCTGGCCAACGTGACACTATACTTTAAAATAGTAAAATTTAAAATATCTTGTTTATTACCCCAGGTAATATCTAATAGCTTTTATCAGGAATTCTCACTAGAATATGAAGGTCACTAAAGCCCCACTGCAGCCAAGTTCTCTACATCAATTAGCCAAACAGTGCACATAAAAAGAAAATAAACTACTTTCCAAGGCACTTCATATATAACTTAGTATTTCAAAAAAAAAGGACTCAAACTGTGGACATTGTATTCATTAGAAATCCTCTAAGAACGGAGTCTACCAAGTACTGACAAAAAATGCACTTATGTTATTCCTTTCTTCAGTAACGCTCACACTACATTATGACTGGAACAATACTTCCTCAAGTAAAAGGAAACAATGCCAACCACTTGTTAAGACAAAATGAATAAACAGAAACAATAATAAACCTAAGTGAAAATGAAAGGGAGTATATCTAATTCTGATAAGGAAAACATTTTACCATTTAAGTGCCTAGATCATCTAAATTCTTGCTTACAATTAAAAGAACATATCATGTGCCACTATGTGCTGCTAGAGTCCTTAGGTGTGACAAACTTAACATGATAGTAAAAATGGCAGTGTAAAAAAACGTATTATTGATGAGGGTGTAGCTTGGTAGAATGCTTGCTTAGCACACTCAAGGAGCCTGCGTTCAATCCTCAGCACTGCAAAAACAAACAAACCCACAAGCAAAAAACCCCACTGCATTACTAAATGTCATAGGTTAAGCCCAGTTCCATCAGACATTCTGTGTTAGGGTTCCAGATCCTTTTAAGAAGCTAATACGGCCCCAAATGCACGTATGTACAAAATCTGGCATTTAAATGTGTGTACCCTCAAAGTCAATCTGCTGTCATTTCTCACATCACCAACAACCACCCACTGTGCCCACCTGCTGGCTCGTTCAATCACAGGCTCCCAGTAGTTACCAGCACCATACTCCGTGGTTTCATTTAGTAACACCAAAAGAAACACAGCTATCAAACATGTTCACAGCATTGTGAATTCAGGACTTACCTAAAGTGTAATAAGTATGCTGAGACATAATACATTCTTCTTGAAAAGTCTTTAATTGCTCACAGTTTTTTCACTTAGACTAATTAAGGGAAATGCTGAATGTGCATTATGTATACTAAGAAATGTGGATATTCTGCAGGGTTAAGAATATAAGAAACAAGATCACAGAATGGGACAGTGGTGTGCAAGCACAGTGGTGGTACTCCTGGGTAAAGAGTGAACAATAAACACACGCTGAAATAAGGTCTGAGGCTCCAGGAAAAGGACTGCTGCTGTTTTGTTTTTATTTTCTTTAAAGGCAAAATCCACAAGGACCAGAAGACAACAAAATCGGAGAGATGCTGGAACAGAACAGAAAGAATATTGATCAAGAAGTATTTTAATGGACACTTAGATCCTTAAATCTTACTCTCTCCTGTCCTTCCCACACCAGCAAATGTCCATAGGCTAAAAAGAGAGCCCTCTGCACTGGAAGACCCCAGTTAGCCCAGCTGAGGTTGGGCCAGCACAATGAAAATGGAGAGACTTTGTGAATGCAGAATGAATGCTTGGACACATCCCACTGCACCCAAGCCCAGCCAAAATTCCCTTTTCCAGTCAGCAGGCAAGACATTGCAGACTGTCTTATGAGTGGGATGAATGACCTTGAGAAAAAGACCACAAAATTCATTGGGGCTCCACAACCACGTGACTGAGCTGCTGCTAATGTTTGAGCCAATGAGCCTGAGCCTCAGCCTCAGCTGAGTTTCCCATCAGCCACCTTCAGAAAAGAACATCAACAAAGGGATACTAAAGCAACCACCTTATACCTACTAGGATGGTTACTGTTAAAAACATGGCCAGGCATGGTGGCACAGGCCAGCAATCCCAGCACCAGGAAGCTGAGGTAGGAGGAGTATGAATTCAGGGTCAAACTGTACTACACGGTAAGAAACTGTCTCAATCAATTAATCAGTAAACAAATAAAACAAAAAATAGAAAATAAGTGTCCATGAGGATGTGAAGAAATTAGGACCCTTGTACACTGCTGGGAGGAATGTAAATGATCTAACTACTACAGAAAGCAGTATGTTGATTCCTCAAAAAAAATTTAAAAATAGAATTACCAAGGGCTGGTGAAGTGGCTCAAGCAGTCAAGCACCTGTCTAGCAAGTGTGAGGCCCTGAGTTCAAACCCCAGTTACACACAAACACACACACAAATTACCAAATAACCCAGAGCACTTTGTGTTCTATACTCAAAGAACTCCAATCAAAGTCTCAAAGAGGTATTTGTATATGCCCACATTCACAACAGTATTATTTACAATAGCTGAAACGTGACAGCAAACCAAGTATCCACCAATAACAGGACACACACAATGTGGTATATTCAGTCTTAAAGAGGAAGGAAATTCTGACATATACTATAGCATGGATAAAGCTTAAAGACATGCTAAGCAGTCACCAAAAAAAGACAAAAATGTCTTTGACAGAGCCTAAGTAATTTTACTTAGCATGAGGTCCAGTGGTTCCCTCTTTTCTATAGTTTTCTCTTTGTATGGTTTCAGTTGCTTGCAGGCAGCAAGAAGGGTAAGTATAGTAGGGTAAGATGTTTTGGTTTTGAGCTCATACTCACATAACCCTTACATATTGCTACAGCAGGTCTACTGTTACTAGTCATTGCTGTTAATTTCTTACTGTGCCTCATTGAACAAATTAAACTTTATCATGGGTATGAATGGAGAGTAAAACATGGTACATGCAGGAAATCAGTTGTGTCTGAGGTTTCAGGCATCTACTAGGGCTCTCCTCAAGTAAGGGAGAACAACTGTACTTAGAATAGTCAAAATCAAAACAGAAAATGGTGGTTGCCAGGAGCCCAGTGGAAAGAGAAGGAGGAATGGAAAGCTATTGTTTAATAGGTATGGAGTTTTAGTTTTGCAAGATGAAAATAGATGATAAATTTTATGTTACATGCATTCTACCACAATTCAAAAAAAAACACCAACAGGGCTGGAGGTGTGGCTCAAGCAGTAGATTGCCTGCTTTGCAAGCCTTAGGCCCCGAGTTCAAACCCCAGTCCCACCAAAAAAAAAGCCCAAAACAGTAATAAAGTCATGGGGTTGGGGGCACACCTGTAATCCAAGCACTCCAGAGACTGAGACAGAAGTTCAAGGCCAGACTGAGCTACAAAGGGAGACTCTATTAAAAACAAACCAAAGACAAAGAAGCAGTATCTAAAAAAATCTAAAGTAAATTACAGACAATAGGTCTGTTATCCTCAAAATTCATAGGTTGAACCCTATTCCCAGTGAGCTATAACTGGAGTAAGGCAGAACCTCTGTGTCAGCACCGTGTTGGTCTATTATTACTTACTATTCTTAAATTAAGGATAAGAACGAACCTATCCTAATTCACTTTTATATGGACACTGAATTTATTTAAAACCAAAAAATTCACAGTAGGGGAAAAATAGTTAACTGTCTACTCTCTATACTCACATATAAACTTGAATATAAATAATACAACATTCCTGCTGATGCAAATTCACAAGAGGAAGCCATATCTATTACACATATAAGAAAACACTTCTCCTATCATGCATCAGTCACAACTAAATAAGCACATTCAAACAGATTAGCCCAAAGCCTGGACACACAAAAGCAAGGACCTCACTTCTTACTAGCAGCAGGAAATCCTAGGGTAGACCACCATGATCAGTGTGGTTTTAATGTGGGTCTTGTTATCTCACCACTGCAAGTATCCGTACACAGGATTTCCAAAACACTCAATCTGATCAGAGTGAAGGCAATGAGAAGAGAAGACAATAGAGTTGTATGAAAGCTTGTTTATCATTTTACCTTCAGTGCCTAGCACATGGTGAATAAAAAAATCCTCTATAAAACTTTGATATAAACTTCATTAAAAACCGTACAAACACCATCACTGGGAGAATAACGCAGATAAAAACTTCTATGCCTTCAGAAACATCTTCCAACAACAAAAATTACATTTATAGGTAACTCTATCAGGTAATTTCAGAAGCACATTTATAGGTAACTCTATCAGGTAATTTCAGAAGCAACAATTATTTTAATACAAGCCAAGGCAAGAATACCAAGGCTTCTATACCATTCATCAACCAACACCATACCAAGAATGTAAAAAGACTACTGTGTAAGGTACAAAATACCCAAGGTAAAGCCATACTACCACCTTCGAAACACAGTAGCATGTATGTAATGTACTTTGGCCCCTGATTGGATTACATCACTGTCTGGCTATGCACCTTAATGGGCACTCAAATCACTGTGGGCATGCATGAAGCCAACTCAATCTAAGTAGCTATTAAAACGCAGTCAAGTTACAAATTAGTAAATTAGCATCCAAAGTAAGGCAAGGAGAACCACCTATCCCTATTATATCAACAGAAGACAAAGATACAGAGAGATGGTACAAATGACTACACAACCCCAATCATCAAGTTGTACTGAGTACACACTGAAGCTATACTTGACGGATCTGCTGAAACTTCCATAATCCAGAGTACAACAGCAAGAAAGACACCAAAACTTTTTATATGGCACCTTGACAATAAAGAGACTGAAAGTATAGAGACTGTTGGTGAGTGGAGAGAAAAGGGAGGTGACAGTCTAAGGATACAAGGCCCCAATTGGATGGCAGAATCATTTTCCCCCCTTTGGGCCAGGTGTGGTAGTACAGGCCTTTAATCTCAGCACTCAGGAGGCTGAGAAAGGAAGATCAGGAGTTGAAGGTTAGCGTACACAGCAAGACCATATCTCCAAAAAAAATTTTTTTTGAGATACCAAACAGCATCATCAATAATAGTAAGTAGAATGCATTATACATTTCAAAATTGCTAAGAGTAAATTTCAAATATTCTTAGCATAAAACAGGTAAGCATTTGAGGTAATGGATAAATTATTTAATTAGCATGTTTACTCCAGTGTATCTATAAATCATAGACTCACTTTGTATCCATAAATCTATACAACTATAAAAGTTTAAAAACTTCATACATGTTCTTATCACTGCCCTTAAAAGGAAGATGAAACATGAACAAAGACCCAAGTCACAACCAGATGCAACACTGTCACAAACTCTTGAGCAAAGTTGTTCCTCCTAGTTTTGAACATAAACTTTCTAATTTCTATTTGACAATTCAGTCACACTTACACATCTTGGTCTTCATCACTAACATCCCTAAAGTTCTCAAAAGGGTGTGTTATGTGTTGTGTGTGTGCTGTGAGAGTGTGTGCATGTGTGTAAACTAAACACTCTAGACCAAACTGTGTAACTCAGTAGCTACTAGCTATAAATACTAACTTAACACCTGGGTGACTAGTAAGATTAAGGGACTAAATTTTAAGTTTTGCTCAGATAAACAACTCCATTACACAAAGTTCTAATTGACAATGCTGCTATAACTCACATTAAAACTAAGCACAAAAGAGATGTTTATGGTCTATCATCTTAGACAAAAGTGCATGTCCCTACACCTTAACTTTCTCAACCAAACAATGTACAAAGAGCTCAACTGGATTACTGCATGATTCTAAATGAATGGTCTTCATCTGAACAGCAGTAGTTAAAGTCATACCCTCTTTTAAATTATGGCAGGTACTTTGACCTGAGGGGGAAGTTCACTCACTATTTGGACAAGGTGCCTCACCTCTCTGTGCTTGTTTTCTTACCTATAAAATGGGAGGTTAAATGACTACTTCTCAAATTCTAAAGTTCATTCCTATGGATCCAAAAAGTAAAGAAATGTAAGTGAAATAAGGATACTCAAAGAAATGAAGAAAAAGCAATTCAGTGACTACCACAGTCTCAAATTCTTAAGAAGTTACTTAAGTAAATTTAAACTTAAAAGTAGAATGACACGGAAATTAAAGTTGTGTAGTATCAATGTACTCTGGTAGAAGGCTGATTTGGTCTGTGTAGATGGGTCTTGTTTTTCATTTTTTGCTGTACTCCACACATAAACACACTGTCTCTACAGGTCAAACTGAAAAAAAAAGAAAAAAAAAAGGCTAGTGCTCCACGTTAGTGTGGGTAGCATGAGAACTTAACAGCTCACAAAAGTCTGAACTGTTCCACAAAAAGTTCACCTATAGTCTTCCTCCTACATTAGGCAGCTTACAATATTATCTCCATTCAGAGTTCTCAAAAAGCATTAGGCACTTGCTTACTTTGTTGATGAGCCAAACCTAACACTCTGATAGAAGCTATGGTTATATTTTTAGGTTCAATAAGGTAAATGGAAGTGCAAATTTATACATAAAGCTTATAAAATAAGCCATACCTCTTTCCTGTGGTATATACTCCAGTGTATATAAAACATGAGAGTTCCCTGAAGAAAATCGTAACAGATATATGAAGGAGGGGATATGGACCTATGTAAAAAGTGCTAAACGGCAGAAGGTCAAGCAGAAAGGCACATTTATATATACCTTCTGTGGCTTACGTCACATCCACTGTTATATTTCTCAATCTTTAAAATGGGGTGAGGGGGAGAATCACTCTCCAAGAACTCGATTTACAGAATGACAGAAAAAAGTCCAAAAATTCTTTCTTAGAGAATATAAGTTTTTACCTGGTATATACTTTCCTTATTTTATTGCTGCTGTAACCAAGTCACCACTGAAGACCATTTAATTATCAATTTTTGTTATTACAAAAAATGCCAGAATTCTCCAACACAGAATTGCTGGCTAAAAGGATATTCCCATCTAATTAGGTGCATATAGCCAAATAGTTCTCCACACACGTCATACCTACCACACCCACTCCCATCTCCCCAGATGGACTCTTGTCAATGTGTTTACTTTTCTCTTACGAATGAGGTTGGGCAATGTTCCTATTTTTGAGAGCCATTTACATTTTATTTTTCTGCCAAGTGTCTGCTGATACACTCTGTCCAATTTCCTATAGGGATAGTCTTCTCCATGATTTGGAGTGGTTATTTAAAAATAAGAAAATGAGCCCTTTGTCTGATAACCTTCCCTCTACAACTCATTCCACTCCGGTAGCCATGTGCACCACTCAACTGATGCAGCTCTTTCACGTTACCAATGACGTCAGATGGGGCTAAATGCAAATCAAGCTCTTATCCTCATCATAACTTTGCTTTCAGCAGGGTTCACACAGTCCATCAATAGACCCTCCTTTCTCCTGACCCAGAGGGTTGCTCCCTCCTCTCCTTTCTTCCACGTACTTACGATGTAGTAGTTCCTAAGAGTTCAGGTTGTAGACAGAACCTATATCACACTCTTCCAATTTACCACATTCACAGGAGTAAATTCGCATTTTTTTTATTCACAGTTTCCCCAGCATCTGAAACAAAGCTTGAGGAGAATTAAAACACGTTCCATTGAATAAATTTAGCCATTTCCATGGGTTTCATAAATGACTCTATAAATATAGTTGAGATTCAAATCTGTAAAACCATTAAGACTATGTGCACTTCAAATGCAGGTACCCAACTACTAGTAGGTATTTACCCCTGGATATCTCACAAGCACATTATATTTACTATTGCCAAAACAGAGCCTTTGCTTTCCATCACACACTAGGTACCACCAACCAAACCTTTCAATCACCAAGTCTTCCCCGTTGTGAAAGACAAAGCCCTTGCTCTTCTTTGCCCTATCAATCCAAGTCACCGAAACATTATCAATTTCATCTTCCTATCTCCCTTCTCTCCATCCTGAAGGATGGACACAGCTTCTAACTCATCTTCCTGGTTTCCTCTTGTCCCTCCAAGTCATTTTCTACTTGGGTTCTTTCCTAGTCAGAATCCCCCACTACTTCTATGAGCAGTAATTCTGATCTATGGTGTCCACTGAAGCAGCCTCATGGCTTCTGAACACTTGAAATGTAGCTAGTTTGAATTGAGAAGGCTCTGAATATGAAACATGCAATGGATTTCAAAGACAGAAGTGAAAATATCTCATTAATCTGTCCCTACTGATTACATGGTGAAATATTTTGGCTATACTGGGTTATTAAGATCTGTAATTAAAATTAATTTACCCCCCCTTTTTAAAACTTTTCCAGTGGCTACTGGAATATTTCAGATTACTTGTGCATCTTACATTATATTTCTACAGAAATATACTTGTATTTGTATTTATATGTATTTTATTTATACGCTGCTCTGAGCACTTCATTGAAGGTACCAGTACTACATCAATTTCCTTTAACCACATATGATCAAAACATAGCAAGTACAAGGCGGGTACCCGAATATTTGCCAGTTGAACTGCTGGCCAAAAACTGGTGTCATTTATCTACATTCACTTAAAAACAAAACACTAGGGCTGGCCGAGTAGCTCAAGTGGTAGAGCATCAGCCTAGCAAGCTTGAGACCCTGAGTTCAAACCCCAATATAACAAAAAAAAAAGAAAACCACTAGTCTGGAGGCTGAGATCAGGAATATCACAGCTTGAGGCCAGGCACAGTAGCACATGTCTATCATCTCAGCTATACAGAAGGCTAAAATTAGGAGGATTATGACTCCAAGCCAGCCCAAGTAAAAAAGGTTCATGAGATCCCCATGTCTTTGAAAAAAAGCTGGGCATGGTAGCATGCACCTGTCACCTCAGCTACTGTGAGCCTGAGCAAAAAGTTGAGAGTCTACCTCAAAAATAACCAGAGGAAAAAAGTGCTAGAAGCATAGCTCAAGCAGTAGAGCACCTGCCTAGCAAACGTGAAGCACTGAGTTCAAACTCTCATGTCTCACACACACACACACACACACACACACACACACACACACACACAAAAAAAAAAAACAAAAAAACCTTGACTAAATTATTTAATGCTTACTGAAGTTAAATGATACTCAAAATAAAACTAGAATTAAGAAGATAACTTTTAAAAGAAAATTTTAAAGATGCCCTTTTTAAGTTTGACCTTTCTTTGGATACACATGCAACTTAAGAACAATGATTGCTTCTCTAATGTTCATGCTGGTCAGCTTGCCATTGATAATTTCTAAGATGACGTATTTAGGATGGCTGAAAAGGAACTTAAGAATTTTCAGTAATCAGCCCTTAAAATATTGGTCATCACAACTCAAAACAGCCACAAGAAAATGAAAGCTAGTAGGCAGTACAAGGAGAAAACAATAGGCATGGAAGAATAGTTATCAGGAGTTAGACCCATGCTGACTTTCAGAGAGGGAGAGGGTGTGGTTCACTCAAAATGACAAGGCTCAGGGAGTGCACTGTCACCCCACAAAAAACGCACTGTCACAGGGCCTTGAAAACACACAGATAAGGGATGATACAGAAAGTACATTCCAAAGTGAACAACATGACACTGTTGGTGTAAGACGACTAAGATCATCTTATGGATCTCAATGTGATTTAGATGGAAACCCTGACAAATCTGCCAGGGTGGCTCTACATTCCACCTCCAAAGACAATCACAACCAAAGCAGCAACATCAGGTGCTTCTACTGGTGTCATGGTAGGGAGCAACAAAAACCAAATAATCTGAGGCTCCCACAAATAGATGGTGGGGAATGGGGACAAAAATGGGAAACCCACATATTTAAAATATTTTATTTGGATCCTGATTTGCCAAAATTAGAAAACTGTACAATATGAGACCACTGTCAATTTCAGCTTTGACAAGCTATTGGATAATATCAAGCAATTCTGTGTTTTCTTTTAAAGATGTGATGTTTTGTAATTGTTACGGTTAAAACAAAAAAAATTTTTAAAGATGTACATTAACACAATTATATTATTGGATTTTCTTCAAAATAATTTGGCTAGGGCTGACCACAGAGAGAAAAGTAATAGAATTTGCCTTCCTGAAGGGGCACAATAACAGCCCACAAAACAGGCAGACATTCACAAAGTGTAATTGCCAAAGGTTCTGTATTTAGAACAAAAAACTCCTACCAAGTGTTGTGTTTTAAAATATGCCTACAAATTCTTTGACATTCCTCCCTTCAAAAATGGGAGTCCAGTTCCCTCCCCTTCAATGTACAATGCACGCTGAAGTGGCTTTCTTTTAACAGAACATGGCAAAATTAGATGCAATACAACTTCTGAGGTTAGGTCATAAATATGATGACTTCCAAGGTGTGCCTTTCCCTGACTCACTCTTGGGGAAAGGCAGTCACTATGTCTTGCTATCAGGCAGGACACTCAGACATCCCTGGCAAAAGCCCAGTGAAAAGGACCTGCAAGACTTCTCACTCACGCCAGAACTAACTTGCCAGGCATGTGAATGAGCCATTCTGGAAAGGAGCCTCCAGCTTTATCAAGTCTTCCAAGGACTAATCACACCAGAACCAAAGCCACCACGCTGTGCCACTCCCAAGTTCCTGACCCAGAGAAACTATGAGATGGTTCATCTCACTAGTTTCAAGTCACTAGTGGGGTAATTTATTACGCAGCAGTAAAGAGCTAATGCAATGAAGCAGGCAATTCATTAGGAAAAAAGGCTTTATAAATACACTCTTTATTAAAGGATTTTCCAAGTGTCTAATGAAAGTATGAAAAAGACACTAGACCTCATTAGAGCAAATTAAAACTACCTTAAGGACAGCGCCAGTGGCTCATGTCTGTAATCCTAGCTTCTCGGGAAGCAGAGATCAGGAGGATCAAAGTTCAAAAACAGCCCTGGCAAATAGTTTGAGGGATCCTATCTCAAAAAAAAAAACCCATCACAAAACAGGGCTGGTGGAGTGACTCAAGTGGTAAAGCGCCTACCTAGCAAGCTCAAAGCCCCAGTTCAAACCCAAGTAGCACCCCCTCCAAAGCCTACCATAAGATACCACTAACCCATTACCAGTGTGACTAAAATAAAAGGATGAAAAATATGAAATGGAAACTTTCCACACACTGCTGGCAGAAATATAACTTAGTACAACCACTTTAGCTCCTTCTGTCAGTTTTCCAACACTGGCTATACACAGTTATCTTATAACTTAGCAATTTTACTCTCAGGTATGTTACCAATAGAAACACACACACATATTCACCAAAAGACACAAACTTTGAACATTTTGAGCAGTACTATTTGTAACATCCAAAACTAGCATCTATCCAAATGTCCATCAACAATAGAATAACTTGGTAGGGTTAAATTACATACAGCAGCAAAATAGGCAACAACTGAATGTAGTAACAGAAAATTTCACAAACAATGTCAAGAAGAAAGAAGTCAGACACAAGAGCACATATTCTAAGACTCTATTTACAAACTGGACAAATCTCATCAGTGCTGTTTCAGATTGTCCTTGGGGGACAGATATGACTAGAAAGCACCTGAGGGACTGACTACTAGGTAGGTTTCAGCTTGTGAAAACTTATTAATGAAATGTACATTTTTCTGCATTCCTAAAATACTTCCACAGAGTTCTCAAGTATTAACACTTAGATAGTCCTTAAATCTCACCCTTGCTTGTCCTTCCCACACCAGACGTTCATAGGCTAAACGGAAAGAGTAGAGAGAGAGAAAGTGAAGACTGACAGTACACAGTTGTGGGAGCTGGGTAACTGAAGGTTCATTATAGTTTGTAGATGTGCAAGTTTTCACCTAATAAAAAAAGTTTTAAATTTAATAGGAAATTGGCAGGAACTGCTAGAAAAAGTAAAATTGCAACTGGGGCAATTTTCTGGTCGTAGATATCAAAAGGCATTAAAATCCCCATATTCTTTGACCTAATTACTTACTTCTCTGAGTTTATCCTAAGGAGTTTATACTGAGTATATATGTCATATATAACAATGCCCAAAGAGCTTACAATAGAAAAACAGAGAACAATCTAAATAGAGAAGACACAAACACACTCTGGGGAATACCACAGAAGAAACAATCCAGATTGTGCACAAATACATGATACCTTAGTACTCAATAATAAATAACAATGGTTATATATGAACTAAAGTACTTTTATCTAGCCAATGAAGTACAGTCATTAAAATCAAGTCAAAACTCTTAGAAGAAAGCATGGAGTAAATCCTGCTGTCCTTGGATTTGGCAAGGGCTTCTCAGAAATAAACATCATAAACATATAAATTGGACTTATCAAGTTGATTTTTGTTTTACCTCAATAACATCATCAAGAAGTAAAAAGGCACCAGTAGCTCATGCCTATAGTCCTAGCTACTTGGGAGGTTGAGATCAGGAAAATCAATGTTAGAGGCCAACCCAGGCAAACAGTTTGTGAGAACCCATCTCCAAAATAATCAAAGCAGCTAGTGGAGTGGTTCAAGTGGTAGCATGCTTACTTAGCAAGCAAGAAGTCCTGAGTTTAAATGTCAGTACTACCCCCTGAGAGAGAGAGAAAGAAAAGGGGCAAAATAACCAGATCAAAATGGACCAGAAGTGTGGCTCAAGCCATGGAGTGCTGCTTTGTGAATTTTTGCTTCGCAAAGATGAAGCCCTGAGTTCAAACCCCAGTCCCACCAAAATAAATAAATAAACAAATAAAAGTGTAAAGGCAACCCTTAAGAGTGGAGAAAAATATGTAAAAAAATCACACACCTGATAAAAATTTGTATGCAGGATAGTATAAGAAACTCTTGCAATTCAATAATCGATAATCCAATTTTAAAATGGGCAAATAATTTGAATAGACAATTCTCCAAAGATGGACAACTGGCATAAACAAATGGCCAATAAGAACATCATTAGCACTGAAAGCAAAACCACGATGAGATACAATTTCACACCCACTATAATCAAAAAAGACACACAATCACAAGTGTTGGCACAGATAGGAAAGAATGGAGTCCTCATGTGCTGGTAGTGAGAATGTAAAATGGTACGGTCACTTTGGAGAACATGCTGGCAGTTTCTCAAAAGTACAAACACAGAGCGACCATATGACTCAACAATTCCACTCGTGTGTGTGTGTGTGTGTGTGTGTGTGTGTTTGTGTGTGTATACGCATATAATTCAAGAGAAATGAAAAGATATGACAACCAAAAACTTACACACAAATGTTCATAGTAACAGTATTAACAAAAACTAAAAATTAGAAACTCTCAACTATCCATCAACTGACGAACGAATAAACAAAAGGCAGCATCTCCACACAAGGGATATTATTTGGCAAAAGAAAGGAAGTACTGGTACTTGATAAACACAGATGAAAATGACTAAGGCTAATAAGCTAGCCACAAAAGACCACATAATTCCATTATATGAAATGCCCAGAATCAGCAAAGCTATAAAGAAATAGAATGTATGTTAGTGGTTGCCTAGGGCTGGGGAATGGGAGGGAAATGGGGGAGGACTAAAGAGTACAGCATTTCTTCCTGGAGTAATGAAAAATTTTAAGTGATGGTGATGATAGATGAACAGCTCCATAAATGGCACTAAAAAAACCACTAAACTGTATGCTTTACACATATGAACTCTGATATGTATCTCAATAAAGCTGTTAGAAATGAATGATGCTAAGCAAAGATTGTTTTTAAGAACTTTAGCACCTGTACTTTGCCTTGCCAATGTATAATGCATTCATACATTTTCATTTGAACCTCACAACAATCTTGTAAGTTTGATTTTTTGCAAATAAACTGAGTTGCAGAGACAATTACTGACCTAGGTATCAGAGTTATCATAGCGAG